CTTGAGGGTTAGGGACTGATGTGACCGTACAATATATATATATATGTGTAAAGCACTGCGTAAATTGACGGCGCTATATACCTGAAATAAATAACGAATTGCCCGAATTCCAGGATGTTGTTGAGAAGCTGAGCTTTCTCAAACAAAAAAGTCCCCTGTACCAAGAAGGTATCCAGGACTTCTCTCCAGCGCAACAGGCTGGCATCCATTGTGAGTACCTTCCACGTCACTGAAAGAAAAGATTTTCCTGACTTCAGCACTGTTAGTCAGAATGTTAAGTTGCAATGGTCTGAAGTGAAATTAGGCAAACAGTACTGCCTCACATAAGGCTACCATCAGACCCAGAACCCTGGAAGAGTGGCTCATGGATGAAAGCATCTTAACACGTGAGCAGAGGGACACAAGACCGAATTTTAGTTTTTATTTTTGTGGCCACCCTCCAAAATGCTCATTAGATATTTATTAACCATGATATTGTGTTCCCTATGTTTAACTTCTGGAAATGTAATACATTGTTGTTTCCAATATCTAGCCAACGGAAGTAGAGCCACAAGTAGGATATGGTGAGTTAACCTTTACTGGGAACAATAAAAGTGCAATATAAAAAACAATCAAATCTCTATATCAATCAATGTGCTAAAAAAACTGCACATATGAATTTCAACTAAGTCCTTATAGCAGTCAAATGTGCTTGGAACCCTTAGTATTGTACCAAGAATAAAAGTGTTCTGAAAAAGTTTGTGAGTCTTTTATCCTCTGTAAATTCCACAAAGTGCCACAGTGCTTCAGCCAGGAACAAATAAAATGATCCAGTGCTCACACCCCAGTGGTTTGGATAACTCACCAGAAAAAAAAGACCTTTTTTTAATTTGTTTTCAATTGTATACCTTCCTTTGGGTTTAGTTAGTGCATCCATTTTACAATGTAGTGCTCTTCTAGAGGGAGCTAGTGTTCAATTTCCAGTAAGGAGGGCTGAGTAGCAGCCTGGGTGTAATAGTTAGCAGGGTTAAATTCAGGTCAGGGCTGAGAGGCTCTGCAGGTCAGCTTCCTGATACCTCAAGCTGCTCTAGAATCTTGGAGAAGATTCTAGAAGCAGTGGGGGGGGTGAAGAGGGGCTGGCCTGCACACTTAGGGTACAATGGCAAATCCCCAAGCAGGAAGCTTGGCATGGGTCCAGGGCAGCCCCTAAATGTGATAGAGCCTGTGCAGCAGCAGGGGAGTTTGGGTGGAAGATGGAGTGAGAAGGCGGAGGTGCAGGAGGCTGGGAGGGGGCCCAGTTGGGAAAAGGAGGAAAGCTCAGACCTCATCGGCCCCAAGAGCGAGGACCACCTGTGCAACAGGGAAAGAGCCAGGCCAATGGGAGGCCTGAAAGCAGATACCAACTCTCCAGCTCATTGGAAAAGGACTGAATGAGTAATCCTACACCCCCTGGGCCAGTTAAAGGAGAAAGTTGTCCTCAGTTGCAGTTCCCTGGGGCATCCCATACATCTGTCATCCTCATCCAAGTTATCATCCCCTAAAAAAAATACACAAAACCAAGTTCAAGGACTGTTTACTTTCTCTGAAGTGCAAGTCTGGGGGGAAATGCGTGTTGCCTGGCTTTGCAGGACTATACGGGGACCTAAAACTCTAGCGACTCCTAAGGGGGTAGTGCTACATTTAGGAAATAGTGATTTGAGAAAGTGAAAAACCTTGACCCAGAATGACGCTGCAAACAGGCACTTCCACCAGATATGTAAGCTTTCCAGTATTGGAACAGTCGCAAGGGCATTTGAATGCTGACTACCTGCATACAAGACTTATTACTTGCATGTGGTGATTACAGAGAGTGGCCACACTTAGCTGCTGGAGTCGGCAGCCAGGGGCTGCTTCAGTGTCCAGCAGAGCTCTGGGTAAAGCTTGTAGGAGGAGATTTCATTCTCTCCTGATTGTCCTATGAGACTGACCCTCTGTCTGGAGAGCGCTGATTGGCCTGTGCTGGTCACACACACTCTCCTAAGAAAAATAAAAACTTTCTAGCAATACACACCAAACTGGGCATGTGCAGCTTGCCCCCAAGGCTCTGTTCTATCAGCAGATGGATTGGGGACAATAAAAGAAAGGGAGGTTCAGAGAAGACAGGCTCAAAAATTCTTTTTACACAATGCAGAGGATTAACCCCTTAGATTCCACAGTGAGTATAACAGGCATACTTTACTCCATATATAGACTGATTTTACTGTTGTGGGTTTAGTAACACTATTTTTTTTTTCTACATGAGGCTATGACTTTGTGTTTATGATCCTCTGATTGTATTACGTGTCGTGTAAATAGACAGTATGTTACTTACAGTATATGTTATGTTTTTAGAAGATGAACAGTGAGATATAAAAAGTAAACTACAATCATAATGTTTGTCTTGAAAAGGATCAAATGTTATTTTAGTAATGGATAGTAACACCCCTCCCTGTTTATCCTGAAGGATTAGCATTGTATGTTCTTTAATTATAAGGTTCAGCATAATATAATAGGTGGAACTAAGAGGCAAAAAGAAGTTTCTCTAGTTAAACAAAGCTATCCTGGTCTCTTGATCTAGATTTCTAAGAAATGTTTATTTTGTGTATAAGGAAGTTAGCCAGTTTAATATTGAATTTATTGAAAGGGTTTCACAGTACTGTAGAGTTTATTTACTAAAGCTGGTGCACTCAGAATCTCGTGCACTTCTGCATGGAAACCAATCAGCTTACAGGTTTTATTGCTAAAGCTTAATTGAACAAGCTGAGGTTAGAAGCTGATTGGCTACCATTCACAGGCACACGAGATTCTGAGTCAAACAGCTTTAGTAAATCTCCCCCTGTGCCTAGGTTACTTTCAATTAATACATAAAATGCATATAATCTTATGGGAAGATTGTTGTTTAAATTGAACTGTCTGGTGACAGGATTTCTTTGAAAGAAGTAAGCAGCTTTACAAGAGTACATAATATGGCACTCCTCTGCTGCTTTACATGATGACCCATGCTAATAAGAAAGAAAGTATTGCACATGAGTATGATGTGGCTCACCAAAGGTTATGTACTGTAATAGCATTAAAAGTCCAGTTGATGGGACATTGAGATACAGTGCTGCCATCTAAAACATGGTATTACCCATAAGTCTTCAATTTCTGTGCACAGGAACTGAAAAGCTCTACACCTGCGCCATATTGTTACAACTGAAATGAACTGAACTTCAACAGGCCACATTTGTTTTGCCATGGTGTAGCGCAGGGGTCTCCAAACTTAGTATAAGTACCACATTGTATATTTTACTGAAACAATTGAGTATTGTCCGTGATACTTTTTTTATTTGCACTAACATACAATTTTGAGGACAAGCTTTCGGGGAATGTCCCCTTCTTCAAGGTCTAAGCAGTACTACTCACAAAGTTAGCAGAATGTTAGAAGAGATGAAAGGAAAAAAAAAAAAGGAGGCTTTTTTTACTGAATAAATCAGTTTTATAAACGAACACAATTTAAATGAATGAATACGTTTTACTGTGTGCTAGCAGTTATTTCCCAGGCAGGGCTTGATCAGTGTGGGGGATGGCAAGGAACATGAACCACAAAACATAATAAAATAAGTGTAATCCTGCGCTAAGAATCTAAAATGTAGCTGTGATGTCTATGCCCTCCTAATAAGTTATATAACCCCGATATGAGTGCTCTATCAACTTGTGAATAAATTCAACAAATAAATAAACAGCTAAATATCAATGTGTCAAAGTGACTAATTTACACTACAAGGCTGCAAACATATCAAGTGTTCCCACAATGTGCATAAATAAACAGATATATATATCCAAAATTCTATACATCTATGTTGCTCCAACCACTTAGTTCAATACATTTAATTACATTAATAAATCATAATATAACAATAAAAATAAATGTGCTTCAATATTCACTGTTTCAAATTGCATCAGATGGTGTTATACCAAATACTCAGCTCTTATATTTCAAAAAAAGTTCCAATATTCTATTGTGTTCACCACGTGTGCAGCTTGGTGCTTCAATGTAATCAATCACAATTCGGTGAGTCCCACCACCATTGTGCCAATGTGCTCACCTCCAAATTTGGACCTGTTCAAACCAGGTCAATTATACCTCCCCACAGCATGACAGGCACAGCTTGATTGCAGAGTACAAATAAGTGCAAGTCTGTAATTTTAAAGGGGCCGTATGTTCATTCTGCTTTATGTATGGGAGATGGATAAACATCCTTAAAGATAGCTGTGCAGCAATACCAGAAGTGGGGGGGGGGGGGGAGACATGATTGACCTGATCTGAACAGGACCAAAGTTGTGCGTAAGTGCTTAAAATACTGTTCAGCAACGCATTTTTTTTTTTCAGCGCACGTTTACATGCTTGTGTGTACAGGCCCATTAAAACAATGGGCTGAATTTAGATCAGTACAAAAAAAAAAAAACACCTGAATGCCTGTCACGAGCACCAAGGAATATTCAGTAAGGAGTAGCATGTGCTGTGTGCCACACTTTGACACCTGCATGTACAGGCCCTTAATACTATTGATGTCACTCACAGTGAACAATGATGTAGAGGATAAGGATATGTTTGTCATGCATTCATAGTGGAGTTGATTAAAAACAATCTAGGAGCAAAGACAGTTGGAGCTGTTGCTTCAGGCAACCAATACAATTTCTCTGTGTCACAATAAAAAGCCTTCCTGTCTTCACAGCAGCATGATTAAAAAAAAGAGGACTGGCCTTTACAATATAGGAAAGGGTGGGCAGGCCATGAGATCAGCGGAATTGACATTTCAGGATTGCACGGTGTTATTAATCCACAAGAACAGCCATTAGCCAGGAAACATTCTTATACAGATGTTACTCATGCGACCAACATCACATTCATTCATGTCTGTATTTAAAGATAGACATTTGGTTTAAACGTCAGGGTTAAAAAAAAAAAATCAACTTTTCATACAATAAGCACAAATGTCTGTCTTATAGAAAAATCTTACCTCCTTCTGTTGCTGGGATGGTGCAGAGTGACTCCGTAGAGTCATCCAGTGGATCTCCTCCTTCAATATACATGATGTGCTTCCTGGAGGCACCTTTCAGCTGGATGGAATGAGCTATGTGCTATGGACACAAACAGCATATTTGAAATATATTTTTGTGTGTATATAATCTAATGTACATAAGCAATGGGAACTGTCTCCTAAATGTGGTGCCAGTTGGCAGTTGTGTTGATCCAATAGCGTTTATTATTTTCAGAACCACTGTTGCAGTACAAGTATGCAGATCTGTGTCTGCACTTTACTGGCTGTGGTGTGAATAGTGTAACAGCCTAGTTGCATGTTACCGATCCTTGTATTCCCAGTATTTGCTTTAGAGGCCCAAAGCAAGCAAGGTGGACAGCACATTAGTAAAGCACACTGCTGTGATTTATAAAATATGCCAGAAGTATGACCTTGGTGAGGCCATACCAAAGGTTTATTAACTGGCTTGTGTAAAGAATGACGTTTTCTGATGGAATGTAGGTACCATAAGGTGCCAGATCACAGTTTTCTCTGACTGTGAGTGCACTTATTGTAATGATATATCATTTACTGCACGTGCAACTAAAAAAAACACCAAAAGCAAAAAATATAAAGTTCAGATTCCATTTTATTCAGACTCTTGTATCATAAAAATCCAATGTGTTTGGAAATCCAAAAGGTCCCCTTTCATCAAAACTTTCTACAAATGCCAGTTAAGGCTTAACCAGCATCTGGTATAGAACATTGATCCCGGAGCAGTCACAGGATGAGGAAAGAGTTCCAGGATGGACAATGTCTGTAAGGATGGCTGGCAATAGATGGGAGTGCTGAGCTGTCACTGAGAGAGGCTTTTATTTCCTACTTTATGTGATGCATGTATGGAGGTGAATACAGAGGAAAGCTGTAGCTGGATGTGGGTACCCTGAGGGAACATAGCACTTACTGACCCGCTGAGCTTAGGGGATCATGGAAATTTGGTGAGTTTTCCTGAGTGTTGGGAGAGGCTCATTGGCGAAGAACTATACGGAAGGAGTTTGCACAACTATTGGCAATCAGCACAGAGCACTTTTATTGGTTCCTATTGTATACTTTTAGATACACTTTATTTGTATTGGGACACTTTATATTTATTGGGACAATGTATTGAAAGCACTTTGTAGTTATTGCACTTTATGCACGTGGCACTTTATGGTAACAAATAGTTTTTTTTTATGATTTTGTAATATACAGTGCATTCCTAAAGTTTTCAGACCCCCCTCCTTTTTCTGTTGCAGCCTGGTACTATTCATTTTTTTCTCAATAATCTACACTCAGTATCCCATAATAACAAAGTGAAAACAGAATTTTAGAAATGAATGGGCTGAAATCACGCTAAAGTTCACCAATGCTAGTGCATATGCTACTTTAAAAAAGGCACAGCAACCAGATTCGCAAATTACTACTGTCACATGGGATCCAGTGCAGGCAAACGCACTGCGTTTGCGACCTCCTTTTGGGTTGTCATTAAGATGACACTGACACCCGCTGCAGTTTGGTAGTGTGCAGTGTGGTATAATACTACAGGACCCAGTGGGGGAAACCACAGCGGGCTGTAGGGGAAACAGGTATTCAACTCATCCGATAAGTCAAATAATCATAGAGAAGGGTGAGTAGTGAAGCAGAAGCTTTTCAAAGAACAGGTAGCCAGAAAGGTAAGTGTATGCGGTATTCTTTTTGCAGGTATGTTTTACATATAAGTGACCCTCTGCTGACAGGGTCACTTGTACAGATGCAACGGCTAGGGAAGCAGGGTCAGAAATAATCCCTGTAAAGTAAGCTCTAACTATATACAGGAGCTGGTTTACCAGCAACTGGGTCATGGGCAAGCAAATTACGCATTTATGTATCATTTTCACGTGGGTACAATAACAGGAGCAGCTCCAGATAATAATATATGATGACAAGCTAAGTATGAAAACTAGGACATCTCTGATATACTGTATCAAGTTGCAGAAGAGTATTCACTGTGTACATATCTGGAGTTTGTTTTTGTTATATCTATGCCATCTTACTAAGAACTGAATTGGCCTAGATCTATTTCTACCAAAATTGAACATCTATCATTTGTACTTTTATCCTTACCTTGCCGAAGAGCTCCACCATGAGGATGTCAGAGAAATGCACACTCTCGTGGTCCGGAGAGAAAGAAACTGTGATCTGTTCTGTTTTGTTAGGCTGAATGGTGCCCACTACAGGCGATACACTGAAAACACTTTGCCCGTTGTAATTCTGAGGACCTTCAGGAGAGTAATTGTTAGCAGACAATCAGTAAATGAGTACTAGTAAGAAAAAAAATCAGAATTTGTTTTATAATACAGTCTAGAATATATTTAAAAAGAAAACAATAATGAGGGCTATACTTAATGTTTTGTTTACTTTTCACAGTTTTAAATCTAGGTGATTGTTATTGTGCAACTTTTTTTTGGCCCCTTTAGACCACAAAGCATGGTAACACATGGCACTTTGTGCAGTACATTGCAGTGCCATTATTATAGCATGGCATTTCAATGCACAAGTACATTAGATGCAAAAAAGAATGTGCTGCAATGCACCACAACCCACATGGTGTGTATTATGACACACAGCAATAAAAAAAAATGCTGCAAGTCTGGTTTTTGATCTGTTGTTTTGTGTTGGTAGTGCACTCAAAATGAATGGGCTGCCTTTATCCAACAAACTAAATACTTCACCATAATGCACATGTGGTCCATAAGGAGCTGAAAAAGCCCTTAAAGGGAAAGGAAAATTTGCTGTCAGTGAAGCCAGCAGCAGCGCAGGAAAAGAATATGTTCTCTGAATAGTAAAGCCTTTTTTGTGTTTTGCTCCACATCAAGGGAAATTTAGAATTATAAATATTTAAAAAGATGATACAATTTCATGTAATGTAGATTTCAATGACAAGTATGAGACAGCATTAGCTCAGAAGTAAATCCTGCAACTGATACACAGACAAATGATAAAAAGATTTCTTTATGACACTTAAAGTGGTTCTAAAGCCTAATAATTTTTTTACCTTAATGCATTCCTTGCATTAAGGTAAAAAATGTTTAGGCATCAGCATCCCCCCTCACCCCCCTTTTACTTACCTGAGCCCTCATTTGATCCAGTGCCATGTAGAACTCTTCTCTACCCTCATTTCCATTTCTCACTGGCTTTGCTAGGGCACCAGGAGCCATTGGTTCCCAGTGCTGTCAATGAAAGCTAGTGATGAGGGAGCGAAAGGGGGGGCCTGAGTGCCGCTGTCTGTGTCAAGGGATGCAGCAGTGGGGCTCGGGAATGAGCAGCCATGGGAAGAAGCTTCCCGTGGGGACACTGGACAGAGAGGAGGGGCCCGGAGTGCTGGCGGGAAGCGACTTCCCGTAGGGGCACTGGACAGGGAGGAGGGGCCCGCAGTGCTGGCGGAGGACCTGAGAAGAGGAGGTTTAAATCCGCTCTGTGCAATTCCATTATAATTCCATTTAACTACTTACCAATCAGCAGTGATATATTTACTGCTGGTTGGCGGTTTCCTCAGGCACTGGGACAGACTGGTACATTGCAGTGCTCGTAGAGCGCTCTGATGTATCCAAATTGCGATGCTCGAGTGGTGTGAGTGGCCCATATACCATATGATGGATGTTTGATCACATATCATGTAGTAAGCAGAAAGTCATGAATGGAATCTATTCCTGACATCATTGTTTACTACTGCATGTGATCTGTGATTGGTCACATGGTACCTGGGCCAATCACAGCACCCTGAGCATCCTGTACCATGTGATAGCTGTGGAACAATCACAGCATCACAATAATAAACAATGAGTCATGAAGGAAAACCATTCATGACAGCTCAAACGATTGCTTGTTACAGTGATCATCACTGTAACAGCAATCACTGTAACAAATCAATCACAGTGATCACCACTGCAACAAGCAGTCACTGTGTAAAAAAAAAAAAAAAAAATCCTTGATCATTCTCCCCTGGGTAATACAGTGTCACTATGAAAAAAAAAAAAAAAGCTTAAAAATTTGAATACAAAATTATTTCAAAATGTTTTTTTTTTTATATTCTATCACCAGTTAGCATCCCTGATCATCGACACACCAGTGAAAAGATGACACTGTACTGCCCTGGTAAACAAAATATTGTGGAAAAATTTTTTTTTATTTTTTCATTTTCCAAAAAATTGTGACAACTTTAAAAAACTCGCTATGCCTCTTACTAAATACCTTAAACTGTCTACTTTCCTAAAAGGGGTCATTTGGAAGATATTTGTACTGTCCTGGCATTTTAGGGCATCAAGAAATAAGATAGGTCGTCAGAATAGCAGGATTATAATAATAAAATGTAAAAGTGAACGCTATCCAGTCAGCAGCTAAGCACTCAAGGTAACCAAATAAAACCTTACAAATGGAATAAATAAAACAGTGCAGCACTAAATGGTAACAAGTAACCGTAAAAACTACTAATAAAGTTCAGTAAAGATAACAGTCCGTGATACTATAAAGTGCCAGGTGACTGGTTAAAAACTTGATGGTGGTGCTCCGTGAGAAATGGCAGAAATACGCACTCACCGGATGCGTATTAGTTATACGCATTAAGTATCACATCCAGGGGTGTCCACATCAGATATAGGTCTGGTCAGGGTTTAAGGTAATTCTCCCTCAGAGATAGTAAACAGCAGGTGCCCAGGCAGAAAATTAATTGGATCCAGGTACCCAGAGGTCCCTTTAAGGAATGAGCAGAAGAGGCTGCCTGCTTACAGGGTAACTTCCTTCTCTGGGTGAAACAACTGGATCACAGAAAGCGGGCTCTGAAAATAAATACTGCGGCACAACAGCTGAGATGCACTTAGTGCTGAAGATACAAAGATTCAGGGAGGGGTCCTATCTTGACGCAAGGCAGACAGGATAAAAGAAGGGGGTGGGGCAGTGCTGTCAGCAAATCTAACCTATGTTCTGTGCTTGCTGGCCTGTCACACTGCAGAACCAGAGTCTGGCACTTCTATGGAAGGTCTAGACTTCCATAGAAGTGCCAGACTCTGGTTTTGCAGCGTGACAGGCCAGCAAGCACAAAACATAGGTTAGATTTGCTGACAGCACTGCCCCACCCCTTCTTTTATCCTGTCTGCCTTGCATCAAGATAGGACCCCTCCCTGAATCTTTGTATCTTCAGCTGTCAGAGCCTGGGATCAAACCTGGTCCTTCTGCAGTGAGAGGCAGTGTCTCTTCTCACTGAGCTATCTGGAATGCTGGACAGCTCCCTTGACAATTCTTGGATAATCCTGCTTTGTGCCTTGATTTCTCTTGAACCTTGAACTCCTTGCTCCTCCCATGAACTTCCTTATAAAAGCCATGTCCATGCACTTCCTCCTTGCCAGATTATTGTGCCTTTCCAGCCAATATCCCGCTACTGTTCCTGCTGCCATCTATACCTCCGCTACCGACCTTTGGTTTGTTCCTCACCACGACTTTGTCTCATCCTAACCTACTACAATTGATCTGCTACCATTTGTGACCGACCCTTGGCTTGTGACTGACTCTGCTTCTGTCTGATCCCTAACCTGTTGATCCGCTATTGGTTCCCAGTCTGCTCATTCCCTGGTGGGGTGATCCTGAGATCTGCGACCTGGTATTGTCACGCAGCCATGTCCATCTCCACCACTAGGAGCTCTGGTGAATACGGTTAATACTTAGACCCCGCACCTCAGGTGAGCCTGCGTCATTCCCAGGGTGACCCGCTGGTGTACCAATCCTGCTGGTTTCAGGTAAGCCTTTTACTGCTATAGCAACTGGTCTCTGAACCTGACCTTATATCGTGACATCAGCACTAAGAGCATCTCAGCTGTTGCGCCACAGTATTTATTTTCAGAGCCCGCTTTCTGTGATGCAGTTGCTTTACCCAGAGAAGGAAGTTACCCTGTAAGCAGGCAGCCTCTTCTGCTCATCCCTTAAAGGGAACTCTGGTTACTTGGATCTAAATAATTTGCTACCTGGGCACCTGCTGTTTACCATCTCTGAGGGAGAATTAGCTTAAACCCTGACCAGACCTATATCTGATGTGGACACCCCTGGATGTGATACTTAATGTGTATAACTAATATGCATCCAGTGAGTGCGCATTTCTGCCATTTCTCACGGAGTACCACCATCGAGTTTTTAACCAGTCACCTGGCACTTTATAGTATCACGAACTGTTATCTTTACTGAACTTTATTAGTAGTTTTACAGTTACTTGTTACCATTTAGCGCTGCGCTGTTTTATGTATAGAATAGCAGGATTGAATAATTTTCAAATATATCTTGGAAGACTCTATAACTTTCACAGACTACATAATATACACTGATTTGGGTTATTATTACCAAAGAAATGTATCAGACTACATTTTGGTCTACATTTATGAAGAAAGATTGTTTGTTTGCAGAGTTTTATAACAGAAAATAAGAAAAACATGTTTTTGTTTTTTAAAACTTTCAATATTTTTTTTCTGCTTATACAGCAAAAAACATCAAAAACCTAGTGGTGAATAAATACCAGCAAAAGAAAGCTCTATTTGTGTGAAAAAAATGACATAAATATCATTTGGGTACAGTGTTGCATGATCACACAATTGTCAGTTAAAATAGCACACAGTGCTGAATAGCAAAAAAATGTCCCAGTCATGAAGGGGGTAAAACCTTCCGTTTTTGTCTCTTTTGCATTTGAAGATTTCCTCCTACTTCCTGTCTTGTGAAACCACTGTTACCAAGACAGGAAGTGAAGGGAAAACAGAGTCCTAGATTGCAATACACAGCCGACGGGAGATCTAATTCTTCATCGTTCTGTCCAAAGTTGGACATACACTTCAGCCTCTTGCACATGGATGTAATCATTTACTGATGTTTATACTCAGGATCTTTTTGACAGAAAGATCCTAAAAAAAATGTTCCATAAAGTATTTGCATAATCGTGCATATACATACTTAAAATTACTCATGCTCTCCTAGTTGCCAGTGTTGCAATCTACATATGTATACACTTGTATGTGCTTATATGACTGCACTCAAATGTAACATTTTCTATTTTTTATTTATGGCATTGCTGTATTACCGATCTTTTTAGCAGCCGTGTGCATTGTTTCATAGACAACAATACACCTGTGTTTAGATCAGCAAAAAAAAAGTGGCGTTTTTTACTTCCTTGTGAAAGAGGCCTTAATGCAGTGTATTGCTACACAATTTTCTTGGTATCATTAACTATGTCTAATGGACAGCACATATATAACACAACTGTAAACAGCTGGATTCTCCTGTGCAGATCATAAATATGTTTACCGACAAAGCTGGGTGTAGATTTGTCTGACCGAATAAAACTTGGAAGTTTCTGAAGCTCCTCGTATCTAGTAACAGACAGACTTCCCTGTTTAATAGTATACTTTGCCTGAATTGTTGATGAGTTATGTAACTGTAAAAAAAGAAAAAAGCTGTCAATAAAACGCACATCAGTAATTTATTTAAACAAAATGAAAAAAAATCTTTGTTTAATGATCATGGTGAAGCTTTGCTAAAGTGGTATTATCTCCACAAACTAAAATTAAATATATTGCAGCTTAGCTATCTTTAAATGTGTTGGCTGCATTTGTCTTCTCTTTTTTAGGCTATGTTTTCCTTTATTTTCACCTGGTGATCTGGCCAGTCTTTGGGTGTCTCAACTCTACTGGAGAAGAAATTTAGACACCTTTTAACAGCAGCATTGTCAGTCTGGTGAGAAGGTAGTTTTAAATATGAACAGAACATGCAGCGCTGTTAAAAATCAATCATACATGTAGAAAATAATACATTATAAGAAGAGTGATAAGGCGACCGCTGCTAAGTAATGGCCCATCAAAATGTTCATAAATTGCAATGACATAAATATCTCCATAAATTTCTCCAATGAGAGTGTTCTTGTGGTACACAGTGCACAATATCACAATGAAGTGGTGAACAAATTGGTGACTTCCGTGACCATATTCCTCCCACCGAAATGAGTGTAGATTGCACTAACCAGAAAGCGCAATAGAAATGTGAATTTGAGTATTAACCAACTCCTGGTCATCCGTCTATTTAAGCTGGATCACTGGGAGGGTCATCAGGCTAGCATCCGCTGGGCAGAATATCCTAACCACAGGATCTCCAGATGTCAGGGGGTGTACACTCGTCTCACCAGCAGGGGGAGATTAATCGTTCCCAGTGTGGCCACCAGATGGTCCCCAAACAAACCTGTATACAGCCACTTCCGCACTGATGCGGAAGTGGCTGTATACAGGTTTGTTTGGGGACCATCTGGTGGCCACACTGGGAACGATTAATCTCCCCCTGCTGGTGAGACGAGTGTACACCCCCTGACATCTGGAGATCCTGTGGTTAGGATATTCTGCCCAGCGGATGCTAGCCTGATGACCCTCCCAGTGATCCAGCTTAAATAGACGGATGACCAGGAGTTGGTTAATACTCAAATTCACATTTCTATTGCGCTTTCTGGTTAGTGCAATCTACACTCATTTCGGTGGGAGGAATATGGTCACGGAAGTCACCAATTGTTCACCACTTCATTGTGATATTGTGCACTGTGTACCACAAGAACACTCTCATTGGAGAAATTTATGGAGATATTTATGTCATTGCAATTTATGAACATTTTGATGGGCCATTACTTAGCAGCGGTCGCCTTATCACTCTTCTTATAATGTATTATTTTCTACATGTATGATTGATTTTTAACAGCGCTGCATGTTCTGTTCATATTTATTATTAGAGGCTTTTGGTGTTTGCCTTTCATGCATGTCGCTTTCTGTACTTTGTCCAGCGCTCATTTCATTTCTGTCTCGAAGGTAGTTTTAGGCTAGCAGATTTAGATGGACTTGACTAACAAATTAAAGCTGAACTCCAACTAACATTTTTAAGTAGTAGTTACAGCAACACTATAAGCACCACTGTCATTGGTAAATGGTTTGTCTCAACACTCTAACTGCTACTTTTGCTGCACAGCTTGAAAATTAACAAATATTACTGGCTGGATCACCGGGTGACATTAAGGCCAGGTTCATACTGATGCAACTACTGATGCATTCCAGAAAGCATGGAATAGCATGACAAGTGAAAGAACATGAATTTCTATGGAGGCTGTTCACAGTGCAAACCTGATGTGATTTGAAAAATGGTCCTGTGCGAGTTTATTACAGTGTGACAGTGTGATTTGTGGCTCCACAGACTTGAATGGAAAACAGCGCTCCCCCACATCGTACCCTGATTATCAGTGCAGCCCCAAAAGTGCTGCCTATCAGTTCTCAACAGTGCTGCCCATCAGTGCCCATTAGTGCTGCACAACAGTGCTGCCAATCTGTGCCTGTCAGTGCCGCCAGTCAGTGACCTTCAGTGCTACCTATTAGTGCCCTTCATTGCCACCTATCAGTGCCCATCATTGCTGCCTATCAGTACCCATCAGTGCCACATATCAGTGCAGCATCATCAGTGCCTCCTTATCAATGCCCACCAGTGCCGCCTCATCAGTGCAGCCTATCAGTGCCCATCAGTTCTGCCTCATCGGTGCACATCAATGCTGCCTATCAGTGCCCATCAGTGCTGCCTATCAGTGCAGCCTCATCAACGCACACCAGTGAAGGAGAAACATTACCTGTTTGCAAAGTTTTATAATAGAAAAAATGTTTCGCTCTCTTTTCATTTATAGAGCAAAGAATAAAAAGCACAGTGGTAATTAAATACCATCCAAAGAAAGCTCTATTTGTCTGAAAAAAATTATAAACATTTTATATCGGACAAGTTCTGCATGACCGCGCAATTGTCATTCAAGTGCAACAGTTGTGAAAGCTGAAAATTGGCCTGGGCAGGAAGGGGGTAAAAGTGCCCAGTAGGTAAGTGGTTAAAGAAAAAAAGTCTTAAAAAAGAAAACACATAAATCCACCAGATCCAAGAATTGGTAACCTGTAATACTGTAATAAAATTTGCTTTAACACTCCAGCATTAGATGAGCATTGGATGCTTTAGGATAAAGCCGTGTATAAATTGACCATTGCACTTGAATAATCAACATCCATGAACTTGCAATGCTTTCCAGGCTCAAAAAAAAAAAAATGTAAATGCACATTTTTTTACCTGCAAAAAATGGTAATTTTATCTTTTTTTTTAAAGTGAACTTATCCTTTAAAGTGGTAGCAAACTCTTTTTTTTTTTACTTCTACCTACAGGTAAGCTTATAATAAAGCTTGCCTGTAGGTAAAATGAATATCTCCTAAACAATTAGGAGATATTCACTTTTTTTTTAAAACTGGCGTATGCGCTCTGAAGGAATGGCATACTCGTGTAGTTCCTTTAAAGTACTGTGCTGTGGCCAGGGACTCCCGTGCGTGGGAGTGACGTCATTGTGGCTCGGCCAGTCAGAAGGCTGGAGCTCGTGAACCCTGAAGGAAGACCGGGTGAAGATGGAAACCTTTGCAGCGGTGACAGTGCACCACTGGAAGGCTTTGTTTTAAGGTAAGTCCTTCATTATGACATTACCTTGCAGAGATTTTTTTTTTTTTAACCTGCGGTTTACTACTGCTTTAAGCTATGCGGGAAATTTATCTTTTCTGTCTTAAATAGTGAAATCTCTGGAATCAATATTTTGTATCTTTTTTCCTTCAAAAACAGGAAGAAGCTGTTTACCTTAAATGATGCTGTGGTGCTATCTTTAGCTAAGACATAGCCCATGTTTAATACTCCATCCACTGAGCATGTCAAAGAGGGTGCCAGTCCTTGTCCTTTAACACCTAATGACAACGTTGCTTGCTGAGTGTGAATTTCCAGATTTTCAAAGAACTACAACAACAAATGTCACAAACAGTTTAAAGGTCAGTGGTCCTGTACATACAGTAAAGGCCATGGTTCTAAAAGCCTATGATACTTAAGGCTGGCCATTTTCCTGGAAGCTTTCAACTATAACAACTGGCCATTGATCATTTCAATAATTTTCTGATTTCACATGACCAAATGATCAAAACTGGCATCAAAATCCATGGACAATACCCTTCGACTGGTTCTTATGTGGGTTTGATTTCAACTGCAGTTTCAACCATTTGATTACATGAAGCTGGGGATTAAATAAAGTTTACTGCATCGTACAATGTGCTGTGAAATCATCGGTCTAAACCAAGGTCTGTTTTTTATGTAGAAAGTATTTTAATTTACCACTTAACCTTTGGAAATATTTATGCCACCTGCTTAGGTGTGTATATTTTACATATCACCATTCGAAAATGCAATTATTTACTGTCAGAGCACTTACGGTTTTACTCTCCTCAGGTTCAAAGGCAATAAACAGATGGCAACTTGCTCCAGGCTCCACAATACCAATCGGATTGAGCAATGAAAAAGGACCACATGGGTTCAGAATTGAGAAACGTGGCTACAATGAATATGTCAAGGTTCATAATGGAGAAAAGTAATACAACATGTATACCTACAGATTATGTAATTTCTTTTAAACAAAATGCCAGTGCTGACCTGTCCGTTTTAGAATGTTAGTTGCCTGGCTCTCCGGCTGATGTATTGGCTTCAGTGTTAAATCACTAACGTTTAACAAGTATACAGGTACAGTAAGTTATTTTGACATTTTTCTGACACTCATTTACATCATGCTTGTTTTAGGTCTGTGACTCAAAAAGTACCAGGCAGCAAGCATTTTAAGAAGGAGGTCTGCATTAGTAGCCACCCACCTCAGTTCTCTCTTTACAGGTATACTTTAAAAAGGTAACACAGATTATTATTATACAGGATTTATATAGCGCCAACAGTTTTCTCAGCGCTTTACAATATAAAGGGAGACAATACAGCAACAATACAGTTCAATACAAGAGGGAAAGGAGGGTCCTGCTCCTTGGAGCTTACAATCTAGGAGATGTATTGCAATGTCACCTCCTCTGCAGCACTAACCAGTAAAATACATACCTGTTGGCAGGACCAAGCTCAATCTATTAACTAGTGGCCTGCTGGCTTCCCCAAAATTTCCAGGTATAAACCACAGGAAAGAGGAAGGATCTGTGTGAATCAGGAACAAGCAATCAGTGCCTCTCCCTCACAAAAATCTTGCTCCTGATCATTTAGACCAAGATGGGCAGGCTGATTGTATCCAAGTCGATCCATCAATAATTGAATGATGGATCGAATTGGTTACTACCGGTATGTTGGATTATTAGCATGCGATTATTGCCAACAGCTACAGTAATCTTTGTGTTCTCCTGGCAGGGAGGGCTCCTTGTGCCCCCCTGCTAGGAGAACACAATAGCTCTTCCCTCTTCCCCCATCAACACTGACTGTGTTGATGAAGGAAGCAAAGAATTTTCTTTCCTGCAACCAGAAAATTAAGCAATTGCATAATCTATGGCTTGATTTATTGTTGGTTTAGAGCTGCTAATTAAATTCCCTTATAAACAGATAACCACTAGGGGGAGCATTCACATACTTGTATTTAATTAGATTTTAAAATATACAGGAGTAGAACGTGTAAAAATGTCATATAAGAACTTATAGTCAGAAAAAGGTTACTGGTATAACTTTAGTAAACCTGTCACAAAGCTAGACAACTGAGGATATGACAAAAAACTGCGTAAACAGAGGTTACCTTCAGTAAGAAATATAAATTCAAAACAATCTGCAGATCCAGAGATATACGAAGTTAAAATTATATACATACAGCAAACGTTTGTAAATCATAAAGCTGGCAGCACACAACTACATATAACTTGCAGTTTAAAACAATAAATAGATATGTATTTAAATAAAACCTGTCACCTTGCCCAGCAGAAGTCCAGGCAAACTACTAAATACATAGCTTAAAGAGACCCCTTGTCCATTAAGAGGAAAGCGACAGAGTATGTGTAAAGCCCACCCTCTCATCACATTATATTTACCTCCTCAGCACTGCTGCTCCTCCTTCAGTGCCTGCTGCTGTGAAATCCCTATGCTTTTGATTAGCGGGGAGAATGAATCTTTTCCCATGACACAGTGCTCAGGCCTAGCAGCCAATCACTAGGCCTGAGCAATGTCACATGATGGGGGTGGGTGACATCGTTGCTCCCTCTAAACTCCTACACTGGGTTTTTGGTGGCAGCTGTAATGATGGATAAAATTTATAGCATAGGGTGGCCAGGGTGTGGCCTGAATGGGCAAAGTGAAAGCATTACTTTAAAGTGGTATTAAAACCCCAAAACAAAAATGTAATATATTGTAGTTTTCCAGTCCATAAATGTGATAGCTGCATTAGTTTTCTATTTTAGGCTTTTTTCCCTTTATTTTCACCTGTTGATCTGTCCAGTAACACACTTCCTATGTGTCTTCACTCCATTCCACTCCTGTGTGTCTCTACTCCACTGGAGAAGCAACAGACACCTTTAGACAGCACTACTGTCAGTCTGGGGAAGGGTAGTTTTAGATGTACTAGTAGATTTGGGCTTGACTAACAAATTAACGCCAAACTGCAGCCAACACTTTTTAAGCAGCTACAGCAAGAGTATTGTTTCCTTTTGGTATAAAGGTTTTATACAAAACAAATAAATAAAAGATGTTAAAGGAAATTGAAAAATAACAGACTTACTGGCCAGATCAACAAATTAAAATAAAGGGAAAAAGCCTAAAAAAGAAAAACGCATGCAGTCACCAAAATAAACATATATTTGCCTGACATTTTGCTATAACAGTATATTATGTGTCCACAAAGCATGTCAAAAAACTTGCATTACAGCTGTATAGCTTATATTCTAATAGCCTTTATACAGATTTGCATTAACATTTACTTTAAATACATTTTTTGGGGATATATTACATTATTATTAGTATTATTATTTTTATAGGAGAGTATTCATAATTAAAAATTTTGAGTATAATGTCTTCTGCTTTTTGTTACCCATACATGCAATATTGGAATGACAAGGTCAGACTTAATTAGGAAATTGCTATTTTAGGTGACAGAGGATACAGTGCCAATAACAAGGGCTAATATGAATTCATCCCAACACTATAAATTAAACCTATCGTATTGAGACTTGAAGGTACTTCCACAGACTCAGCTGAAATGTTCTGCAATGAAACTGTCTTCACTAATTTTTGACCTGAAATAAACACAAATACATATAGGCTTGAAAATCAAATTTTCTGCCAAAAAAACAAAATGCAGGCATATACTGTATACCAAATAAATAAAATTTAAATAGACCATTATGAACAAAGGAATGTCATTAATGACATTGGTGGGAATGTAATGTTTGTTTATTCATTTTATTATTTATTTAATTGTATATATAGGGAGGGTTGTGAACACTGATTTCACCTTGAACCAGGATGTGGTACGATATCAACGGACAGGACAGTATTGGACATTTACTTCGGATATACTGATGTAAATGTCCAGTGTATATCGTCAGCTTGTTTGGTTAAAGGGTAAGTTCACCTTTACCAAAAAACTGCTTATGGCAGATAAGGGGTGTCTGTAGAGAAAAATATACTGTGCAGCTCTGACTAAAGTTGAATAATGCCCTTTCTATAGCTTTAGGGCCATTTACGTACCTCACGAAGCCTGAAAACTCTTAGGACGTTGGTAGGATGTTGCTAAGAGAGGCTCAGCTTTTACTGCTAATCATCACCATTAAAGGAGAAAGCTCTCAAACAGAGCTCAGGGCTATTGCAACAGGGGAGAGCAAAAGCATGTGAGGAGGTTTGAATCAAAGGAAAAGCTCATTCTTGTGATGTTGAAGGTGGACAGTAATTGCTGGGCCTCTATTAGCAATGTCCTGGGAGTTTTCAGGCTAGGCTTCATGAGGTATTGAAATGGCCTACACCTATAGCAAGGGCATTATTCAATTTTGGTCAAAGCTGCACAGTTTGTTTTTATCTAAAGACATCCCTTATGTGCATAAGCAGTTTTTGGTAAACGTAAACTTTGCCTTTAAGCTTTAAAAACGAAAGATATAAGCTGACTGGTTGCCATGCACAGGTGTTCCAGATTCTGACTGCCCCAATTTTGATCAATTCCCCTCACTATTTTTGTTGTTTTAGTGTTATCTTTGCTACAAATACAGTATGTATAGCTGATATAAATGTCCAATGCTGTCTTCTATGCTGATATTATACTACATCTTTACTCATGGAGAAAGACAAGTGGTCACAACCCTCCTTATATGCATTTACAGTTAATTTCGATCAGTAGCTTAGAAAACAGATTGTAACATTTGCTCTCTGATTGCCATTGAGAGGCTAGCAGTCCATGGCATAACTAGAAATACCAGGGGGCCTCTTACCCCAATGGTGGTAAATGGACTGTAATGTAACCTTCTTAACAACACTTTAAAAAACTGATGGGCAGACAATTAGCTTCTATACCTAAAGAGATCATTTTACTATTTTAAAAAGTAAAAAGAAACATTCACTGAAAAGAAGAGATTTAATGTTTACTCGTTCCACTGCCCACGTCTCTGAACCTCGCCATCTTTAAGAGATAATCTTGCTGGAAAATATTCTGCACCTGACACTTCTGGGAGTTTAGGATTCCGGCATTCCCAGCTGTACTTTGTGCTTCCATCTGTCAGCTGCTACATCACTACAGGATAAAGTAGTACTGTGGGGACCAGATGAACAAGAGTGCAGCAAGGGACCAGACACATCCAGAAGTGTGTGAGATGCTGAAGAGACTTTAGAAAGCCAATTCCAAAATGGAAAAGTTTGGTCTTATGGGCAGCAGGACAGGAGGTGCCTCATTTTACTTTTTATAAATAGATATAGAGTTGCTTTATTGTATCTTTATAGAGCTCCTGAACATGTCGCTTTTGAGGTCTTTAGGTAAGTTCTCTCAGAGTCTCAGCTTTATCCTCTGAACCTGTGCTGTGTATCAAAGGAGAGAGCTTTTCCTTCATGATCAGAACCAGGATGACACAGGCAGGAGGATTAATGCACAGTGAGTACATTTTTATTGTAATTTCTTTTCAGACATGGATGGTGTCACTTCTTGCATCTGGGCCTCAGACCAGCTGCTTGAACTGCTATGGTTGTAGTGAGACGTTTGGTAACAGCAGGACAGGGTAGGCCCTATGCGCCTAACAGACCTCAGTACCATACCTCCCAACTTTCTGAGATGGGAATGAGGGACACCAATAAGAAGAAGTATATATTCATAGGACACACCCCTTTCCATGTCCCCTTACAAGAATTATGCAAAAAATTATTGGTTAAAACTAGAAGTGTTTTTTTTTAGAACTACCATTCCTTTTATATTGGCTTTTTAAATGTACAAATGCAACAATTTAGAAATTGGATGAAAGGGTTATTTTATATATATAGATCGGACAAATGAAGAGGGACAAAGGGACTTTGTTAAAAATGAGGGACAGTCCAAAATCAGGGACAGCTGGGAGCTATGCAGTACCAGAATCACATGGTGAGTAACATTTTAAAGTTCTGGTTGAAACTCAATTTACTTTCATTATGGAAATAGAATCTGAGTAAAGCGAAGCGAAACTTGATAATAAACCTTTTGCTGTTCATGTTTTGTATCCAGAACAGCATACTACTGTAGGTATTGATAACAACATTTTTACAATAACAAAATAAATATAATAAGATCTAACAACATGGTATCTTCAGTGAAGAACCGGAGAGGTAAGACTTGCAAAATGACAAAGCATAGATTCTAACACTTCTAATGTGTTCACTCTCAGTCAGAGGAGAACTGTACATTGCGTGAGCCTGCCCGTAGGTAAATGAGGTTGTAGTCAAACCACATTCTGCAATATGTTTTTTTTTAATACAACATTGTTCTAAGCAATAATGATGTGAAAAATGCATTGATTCATGGAAATAAATCCGCTTTCAGTTCAGTGAAGATTTATGATTAATGCTACACGTGATCTCTAGTGTTACCTACTGGCATTTTATATACTGTATGTCTTAGGGACTCTATCATTTAGTTTCACCCATCATAAAGCTCTAAGATTTGTGTTTTCATGTCTACATCACCCCGGTCACATCAAAGCCGATTTTGAAATTGTGCGACTTACAGTGAAGTGAAGTAGCACCAATAGTGCACACACTACTTTAGAAATCAATGCGGCTCTGACCAAGTCAGAACTGCACCGATATGACCGCTCTAATGGAGGACATTAGGGTGCAACTTGGCATATGATTTGCAAGTCGCATGGCATGCAAATCGCATGCCATGTCGCACCCGATGTGACTGGGGTATAAAGGTTCTCAGTCACACTCAACTACTGTAGATTTGTTCTGTAATGGTAAAGATGTTTCACTACTCATCCAAGTAGCTTCCTCAGTTCTAAGGAGTGTCAGGAACATACTTATTAGAACTGATATACAAGAATGGCACAATTGGTGATACTAATAGGAAAAGTAAAAAATAAAAGCTAACAACCTCAGCAATATATATATATATATATATATCTAGGGCCCCCTGTTGATCAGAGTTCAGTAATATTCATAAACATAATAAAATTTCAGAACACACAGGGTTAATGGGACATCCTCCACACACACACACTTGCTGCAACTCTCAGAGACCTCTGGGAAGCTTTGAAAAAAACAAGAGATAAAACAGAACAGAGGGCGCAATTCAAGTGCAGTGTAATGAATTTTAATGATAAAAAACAGACAACTGCCCACTCACATATATATGGAACATGCTTCAGCTTGTCAAACTAAGTCTCAGGGGAACCATCAGCTCAAGCAGGTCGCACAGCCTCACATTACAGTACTGCTTGTGAAGAGTAAGCAAAGTTGCTGAACAGTCACTGCAGGCAAGTACAGGAGGGCAAATGAAAGCATAGGAACCCAGAGTGGAGATGTCACAGGCTGTGGGAGGGTGTGGGCATGGCAATGCATTTCGAAGTTGCCTGCTTTCTTATTAGAACTGTTGTATGTTACCAACATGCCCGGTCTGGGACACAAAATAGGCCCAGGCATTTTTTACTGAGCAGCCACAAGCCCAGGGACTCTTTCCTCAGAGCCTGGAGGTGAAACGCCAGGGTCTGGTAGCAAAAGCGACCTTTTGTGACCCTGGTAGTTTCGCCACTAGTGTCAGTAGGTTTTTATTACATTTTTTACAAAGTTATATTTTATTATTATTTTACATTTTTTCGTAGGCAAGAAAGAGAGAAGGAAAGAAAGGGAAGGAGGGAAAGAAGGAAAGGAGAGAGAAAGAAAGAGAAACAGGAGACAGAGAGAGAGAGGAAGAAAGGAGAGAAAGAATAAGAGAAGGAAAGGAAAAGAAAACAGGAGACAGAGTGAGAGAGAGAGAGAAGTATAAAAAGAAAATGCCCTGGCATTGGTGGGAGTAAACAATGCTAAAGGCTTGGTGGTCAATGGGAGTTTAAAGAAAAAACAAAACAAAAAAACAAACAAAACAACATCATTGGTGTCATTGGAAGAATTAGATCCCCATCTCTGGTGTTAATAGTGCACCATCATTGGTGTCCGTGGGAGGAATAGTGCCCCATCATTCATGTCAGTAGGAGGAATAGTGCCCCATTATTGGTGTCAGTAGGAGGAGGAATAGTGCCCCGTCATTGGTGTCAGTGGGAGGAACAGTGCCCCATCATTGGTGTCAGTGGGAGAGAAACAGGAGACAGAGAGAAAGAGAGAAAGAAAAAAGGAAGTATAGAAAGAAAGGGGAAGAGAAGACACAAGGCTGGTGGACAGAGTAGGCGGAGCAGACAAAGGAGGAGAGGGCAGAACCAGCTTTCTCTCTCCTCCCCTGTCTGTGGTGGGCCAGGAACTGTCAGCACTGGGGACAGAATATGCTGACAGACGATCCACAGCAGCCACAGGGAAGGGGAAACCTGGCGGCAGCGCTGCAGGAGATATGGGGAGGGGTGCATACAGTAATCCACAGCATGCAGGAGATAGATAGGTGGAGCAGCTGGGTGGCACACAGGGGAATCAAGAAATGTGCGGTTCCTCTAAGTGCCACCAGCTGCCCCTCCTACCCAGGTGGCTCCGGCCCACTGGGCAAATGCCGAGTGTGCCCTATGGCCAGTTCGGGCCTGGTTACTGACAATGATTAGAACTGAGGAAGCTACTTAGATGAGTGATGTAACATTGTCAACAATACAAAACAAGTCCTAAACAATGCTATCCTATAGTATCAATTCATGTCCCAATCACCATCCATGAAACCCATGAACATGGGTACAGATGGCAGATACCTAGGCCTTGTCTCCTCCCATGTACACATATAACACAAACTTGAAAGGCCATGCACCATTCCTCTGCAACCCCTCTAAATCAATTATGTTGGAGCAAGCAGAGAGGACACACCATATACCAGTTTCCCCTGATACATTTCGTAATACTAAAACCCATTACAATATCATAATGTGAACATATACAGTATATATATATATATATATATATATATATATATACATAGATTTAAGGGAAATTTAGAATAGGACATCTCTGCATGGTTGGTTTAATTTAATAAAACTATATGTGGGAGTTGTTTTGGCAATGTCCTAAAAAGTTTAATCATTTGCTGTTCCCTGACTTTGGGATCAAACCCCATTAGGAAGTACAATGCATCAGAAGAAGCAAGCAAGTGAAGTGTCTTCTCTGCTTGCATCAGTATGAGGATTTAAGGAGTTGCAAAGAAGTGGTGTGTGGCCTAACGTGTGTGACATAGTTTGACAAGTCCTATTTAATATGACCAACTACTCATAACTTTAACTTTGTTTCTATTGTCTTTCAACATCCAAGGTCATTAGGAGGAGTCATGAACCCTGTTTTTTTACTTGAAAAATCACACCACCTGAGATCTAGTGGGTAATTCAGCCCACCAGTGTCCATCCATAACTGATATATCAGATATGAATAGGCCAGCTCTTTATCCAAATAAAGACATACAGTGTTTGTGAATTACAATAATAACAATAATAAATTGGCTTTTACAGTTTCTGTGCTATTCTAGCAATGTAAAATATGATATTTTGAGAAAAAGTAAGAAAGAATTACAGGAGATAACATAATATAAACCACAAGGAAAAATATCAGTCTTGCTCACTGCAAAATCTTTTCTACTAAAGCCAAGACACGCTAACATAAAATGTAATTGAGCTGTTTGGAGTTATGCTTGTAGCTCTTAATTTGGAAATCCATTACACATGGTAATCTATAGAAGAAACACTGCATATCAAATAAATACATCATCCCCTCCTTTCTCCTCCTGATACAGAAGGTGAGACACAGCTATAGTGCAATTTATATACATTTACAGAGTCTGGCTTGTGAGGAACTTATTTGCTAAAGAGAGCCAGTAGCTATTAATAAAATTTTGATAGTAATGTTAACTGAAGCTTTTCTGGTCATTTTTTGATGAAGTGGAGGGAAGCGCATTGCCATTAACTGGGCTCTGCCTCATTCTAGTGATTGAGTACCTATTGCAGCAGCTCCAAAATTGATGAGATGGCGTCCATTTTCAGAAGTGACAATCAGAGGTGGGGCAATGGTAGGGCAGTGCAGCTCAAGGTACAGGGTGTTATATGGGCTGTGGAAAAACATTTAAAAAGGTACTGTTAAAGGGGTTATAGATCCAAAATATAAAAACATAGACTATAGATTGAGAAGAGGAGATTAAGGGGGGATATGATCAATATGTATAAATACATCAGTGGTTCATATAGTGAAGTCGGAGTAGAGTTTTTAACCCTGAGCTCATCACAGAGGACCAAGGGCATTCTTTACGTCTGGAGGAAAAGAAATTTAATCTCCAAAGGTTTCTTCATAGTAAGAGCTGTGAAAATGTGGCATAGACTCCCTCAAGAGTTGGTTCTGGCCAGCTCAGTGGATTGTTTTAAAAAAGTCCTGGATTCTTTCTTGGATACACAGAATATAACTGGATACTAACAGTTATAGGTAAAGTTGATCCAGGGAATATCCAATTGCCTCTCGAGAAATCAGGAAGGAATTTTTTTCCACTGAAGGAGCAAATTGAATCATGATTTGCTGGGTTTTCTCTGGATCAACTGTGGGTGTAGGATTAAACTTTTTTTAGTTTTATTTGTTGAACTGGTTGGATTTTTTTCTTTTTTCAGCTGGTCTAATTATGTAACTATGTATTGTGTTTTTTTACATTAAAATTCAAGAAAGTATATTTATTCCCAAACTGCATTTGAAAAACAGCTGGGCAAATACTGTGGGACATAAGAAATTGCAAAACCCACCAATTTAGTCTCTAGTGCCTCTGCTTTAAAAAAAATATATAATGTTTGGGGGTTCTAAGAAACTTTCTAGCAAAAAAAAAATTGTTACATGTAAACAAAAGGTACCAGAAAAGGTCTTTATGTGGTTATATAAAATCTTTGTGATTGGGTTTACATTTACTCTAACAGGTGCCATAATTTGGTCTAGTGCTATGAAAATATGCATAAAAGTAAGAGGACATCAATGTGCTTTTGTTTCCCAGTTTTAGTGCAGCTGTCAACAAATATTAATAATTTTCTTACTAGTCAAAGCAGACATGTATAAACTGACAAACACTAGAGGCAACATTCATGAAACACGTTCGTACCTGAAGTTAAGGCTTTCATTTTCTTTACGTTTACCAATGTCACAACAGGCAATGCAACAAGGTATAACATATTTGTCAAATTTGCCCATAAACCTTCTGTAGATGGACAGTCTGGCAGCTGTGTATTCATCAGAACTGCAAATAACATCAACAGCATAAAAGGTCAGGAAGCATATATTAACCTTATTTGTAATTATACATTGTCAACTGTTTTGAGGGTATTATTCATATTTACCAAAGCTTAGCTGTCCAACAGCTCTGTGTATTACTGCTTAAAGTGATAACCCAACAATTTAAGTATATCTAAAGCCAGGCCTTTTATTTGGTTTTAAATGTAGTAGGAAATACTTAAAACTTTTGTCAGGTTTTGTTTTATCTGTCTCTCCAAGGAGATCTCTGGCCCAGGGACACAGCAGGAATTTAGAGGAAATCTCTCCAAACTGAGGGGAAATCCCTTCTTAGTTCACCAAAACAGGGTCCCCGGTGAGGGATTTCCCTTCACATCAGGTACCGGTAATAACTGTAAAATTATGGATTTTCTTTTGATTTCCGATACTGGTCACCATTAGTGCTTTGCAGACAAAAATTTAATTGATAAGAAAGAACAATGAGTGGTAATTACAATGGGTATAGAACTATAACTGAGCTCAAACAAGGATCACTCCCTTCTCAATGGCACACAAAGCCATTTGACTTTCAACTGTGACTATCTGTTGTAATTTTTATTAGCTTAGCATGGAAAGAGCTTTCCTTGAGAATTTCAGTCCCTGCTAGTGCAGGAAACAATCAACTATGGGTGGAAAAGCATTGTCAAAAGATCTCCGAGATAAAGTTGTGGACAGGCACAAGTCAGGAGATGGATACAAAAATGTCAAAGGGTTTATCAATGCCTAGAAGCACAGTGAAGTCTAATATTAAGAAGTGGAGGGTATTTGTGGCACAACACAGACCCTCCCTGGATCAGGACATTACTCCAAACTGGATGAAAGAGCCAGGAAGAAACTGGTCAGAGAGGCAACCAAGAGGCCTACAGCAACTCTGAAGCAGTTGCAGGAATGACAAATGGTGGTCATTGTGTGCATGTGACAACAATATCATAAATTCTCCAAAAATGTGGTTTGTATGGGAGGGTTGCAAGCAAAAAGCTATTGCTCAAGAAAGGCCACATGCAGTCACGATTGAGCTTTGCCAAAACGCACCTTGAAGATTCTGAGGCCACATGGAAAAAGGTGTTATGGTCAGATGAGACTAAAATTGAATGATTTGGCCTTAACACCAAACGATATATCTGGCAGAATTCCAATACAACTCGCCATCCAAATAACACCATTCCTACAGTAAAGCATGGAGGTGGTAATATCGTGTTATGGGGGAGTTTCTCTGCAGCAGGGACTGGAGCACTTCTCATGATAGAAGGAAAAACTGAATATACCGTCAAATTCTTGAGGAAAATCTGCTGCCCTCTGCCAGAAAGTTGTCAATGGAAAAAAGGTTTACCTGCCAACATGACAATGACCCAAAGCACACAGCAAAAATGACCACACAGTGATTGAAGGAGAAAAAAAGGTGAATGTCCTTGCATGGCCTAGTCAGAGCCCAGCCATAAACCCCATTGGAAATCTGTGGAATGACTTGAAGACTGCAATTCAAAAACAGTCACCACCACATTTAACTGAACCTGAGCAGTTCTGAAAAGAAGAGTGGGCAACTACTGCAAAGTCTAGATGTGCAAAGTTAGTAGAGACATATCCCAACAGACTAAAGGCTGTAATTAAAGCAAAAGGTGGTTCAATAAAATCCTGACACAAGGGGGTGATCCTTTTTCAAACTCAGTGATTCTGTTTTTGAATTAAAAAAAAAACATTCTGACATGTTAGTGTTATATTTTTTACTTGGATGTTATAAGTTGCACAGAGTAAATACAGCTGGATAAAACTAAATTTGTGTCTGTCTTCATTTTCGGCTGCAAAGTAACAAAAACATGTTTATTCTTTTCTATATCCCCTGCAAAATAAAAACTAAAATCCTTTTCTACAGGATGCTAAATTCTCCAAATATCTGAAAGACAAATATTAAAAGCCCAATGTGCTAAGTTTGACGATGTATGAGAAGAAGGTAAAATACGTTAGTTCATTGAAGCCTGCACCAACCAATATTGGTTTATTTATGAAGGAAATGAGCTTTTGTTAGATCCAATTAAAAAATTCACTTGGTTTTATCAAAAGCATAAACATTAATGCAATGAAAAGTAAAATTATTTGCTAGTACAGAAACATACAGCAAATGTATATCTTTTTGGATTCTATATCATCCATTTCTTGCATTTGATTCCAGGAAGTATTTAATGTACCTGGATCTACTCTAAGGCAAAAGACTTGGTTTTCTATCTTCTCCAAACTAGGACCAGTAGCATTATTTATTACCGTGAGGTCGTCTAACTAAACTGGTATTGATTCCAGGAATTTTGAAACAGTGGCATTATTTCCTTTACCACTTCAGAAGTAATAGTTTTTTAGTCTGTAGAACATACCTTTTTATTCACAGAAAGCAAATTACTGCTATCAATATCTAAATTCTGTTTTAGGGAAATGTATTTTTTAGATGATAACATTTCCCTATGGGTTGAAACCTTGTTGCTGTTTATGTTTTTATGAGAAGAAGGTAAAATACGTTAGTTCATTGAAGCCTCCACCAACCAATATTGGTTTATTTATGAAGGAAACGAGCTTTTGTTAGATCCAATTAAAAAATTCACTTGGTTTTATCAAAAGCATAAACATTAATGCAATGAAAAGTAAAATTATTTGCTAGTACAGAAACATACAGCAAATGTATATCTTGAATTTCCAACTATTTTATGTGCTAAAATGTTAACAATAAGATTTTTATTAAAGAGGATGGCTATATCACCTTTCTTATCTTTAGCTAGAGATAAGACAATTGGGCCAACCAAATCAGTTTTCAGCTTTTGGTTTTCATCAAAGTTAAGGTAAGATCTTTGAAGCAAAGCACTATCTGCTTTAGACTTCTTTAGAGCTTGCAAAATCTTCTTCTTTTTAATTGGAGGATTCTACCTATTTATATTCCGTGAAACTACTTTATCCATAATCAGCGAAGAATAAATGATTAGAGTATTATAGTTGGCTGAATCTATGTAGAGCAATATTAAAAAAATCTGAGGTTGAAACACAATTTACAGAAATGTATTGGTATAATACACAAACCTGTAAGAATAAATAGTAATTGCCTGCAAAACATAACTAAATCAGTTTAGAACTTTTTTCAAACTATAGAAAAAGTCATGTAAAATATTCTCATTAAAATAACTCCTTATATTACAAACAATGGTGCGAAGACCATATATCATTTAAAAAAAAAGAGCCAAACTGCATATAAATATGGAAATAAGAAAATATAATAAACAGCCTATTTGGAGATGTATTTATATTTCTTGTGTCCTGCAAGAGTTGTAGGGGAAATGTCCAGAGATCAAGCCTGATAACTGGTAGCATAAGATGGCAGGAAAAATAAGATCAATTCTAGTCAATCCACTGACGACTTTCCACAATGTACATTTTAAGACAGAGTCTATCTTCATCAGGGTTCACATTCGGTTTTGATATAAGATACATAAGATACTAGGATAGGATAGTGATAATGTTTATATTGGTACATACAGGGTCAATGCAAAGCAAAGAAAATGCTTTCTTTTTGCTGAGACATGTTATATGAGAAATCCTAAACAATTAGAATCCAATAATCTGCAAGTTTTATAGGGTCTGCTTTTTGTATTTGTGTAGAAAGTTACGCTTATCATTGTAATCCAAATATGTAGCAATCATCAATTTAATCTAAAAAACCTTTCTAGGAGAGCCAATCTGGTGCCAAACAGGGAGTTTCTCTTTAGGAAAGCCAAGCAGTTTTTGCAGAGTAACTGCCATAAGTGTTATGAGTTGAGAAAATGTAGGACTCTCAGGAATGCCAATAAATCATAAATCAATGCATCCATACCTGTTTTCAAGATCCTCTAATTTGGATTCTATATCATCCATTTCTTGCATTTGATTCCAGGAAGTATTTAATGTACCTGGATCTACTCTAAGGCAAAAGACTTGGTTTTCTATCTTCTCCAAACTAGGACCAGTAGCATTATTTATTACCGTGAGGTCGTCTAACTAAACTGGTATTGATTCCAGGAATTTTGAAACAGTGGCATTATTTCCTTTACCACTTCAGAAGTAATAGTTTTTTAGTCTGTAGAACATACCTTTTTATTCACAGAAAGCAAATTACTGCTATCAATATCTAAATTCTGTTTTAGGGAAATGTATTTTTTAGATGATAACATTTCCCTATGGGTTGAAACCTTGTTGCTGTTTATGTTTTCTACAGTGAGGCCCTGACTTTAATAAAAAATCACACTTAGAAGGAATGCATTTGCAGAGTGCAAAAAATTTACTAAAATGTAACAAAATAAATGTAAAGAGAACATAATATGCCAATGTCAGTACAGACAGCCTGGAGATGGACAATGAGGATTACAACCCCCTGAATTCCACAGAAAAGAACAGGCAGGCCCATCAGGAATCCTCCTCCTCCTCCACCACCCAGACAATCTGGAACTCTTAGTCTCTAACTGCCTCCTAAAAATGGTGAAGTTTGTACTTTACATCCATCCCCACTACGCACACACAGTCAAAGTTGGGCAGCAGCTTTGCCTTCATAGCACACTCAAGAAAGATGACCCAATCCACTAAAATATGGACCAGCCAGGTCATTAACATGACAAAGTGAACAAATGAAGAGCCACAGAGCACCAACACCACATTCTGCAGCCTGCACTCAGGCATTTATTTGCAGAGTCTGAACCAGCAAACCAGCACTATTCAAAGTGGTGATGCGTAACCAGCCATCTCTTTCACATCTATCGCTTGCCTGCATCCCAGGAGTCTCTGTGAAGCTGGACAACTTGTCATCCAACAAAAGCCTCAGTAGCTGCCACTTCAATGTCCTGATGTACTTACTGTAGTAAACATGAAGTCCTGCCCATCTGTCCCAGGCCAGCAGTCAGAGCAGCTTCTATGTGAACAAGTGCCAGGATAAACCAGCCCTAAGGACGACTGGAAAGGATTTGCAGCATTGTAACAAAGCCTGCCCTTTGCACCTAAAAAACTCCTAATCCAGCCTTCCCTTTTATCTTCAACCACAACAGATGAGGAGATGAAGACAGGAGACCCCAATGTGCCACATTGCTGCCTACTTCTATCCACGAGCCTTAACCCAACAGTCATAGGATAACACTGGTTTTCTCTAGGACAGAGTAGTCCTGGTGGCTGGGCTTATGAACAACAGTCAGAAAACAGATTAAATGGGTGACAGAGGAGTCTATATCCTGAACAACCCAGCAATTAAGTTGCTTTCCATGTCTGATGATTGCCAAACACAAGCCAAAGACACCCAAAGTTTCACCTGCAGAAAGCAAAATGAGTGTCAACTAGGAGATTACATAGAATTAGCAAAATAGAGAAGTGAACAGTAAACATTCAAGGCATTGCACTGTTGTACAACTATGAACTCTGGCAGCTTTTGTTGTTAATATAACAAAGGTGGAAGGATTTCATTATTTAAAATGATTTTGTTTCCTAAAATAATTTATACTTTTCTTAACTTATACTACTGGTTACTAGACAAAGAGATTTGAATGCTATTGAATCATGCGTTTTAAAGTTTATTTGGGATATTAAAAGGTCACAAATTAGTCTACCAATGTACCAATTTCTGTGATATAAAAAAAAAGGCCTTCAATTTTTGGTAGTTAATAATTTCAGGAGAGAAAACATTTAAACATTGATCATTAAGCTGTTACAGGGTTTAATATCCCTTTTAACAAATTATCCAATCATAGAAATAAATGTGGCTTTCCAAACACAAATTTGGCACATTGCATGCAGTGGCATGAAGAAACAACCCTGTTACAATGTAAGATTGCTAGATAAAGAAGTTTAATGTTAAAAAGTTGCTGTTCATTATCTAATAATAGACCAACTTTATTGAGCTGATATGGAGAAGAGGCTTATCAGAGACTTTTGGATCAGGGAGGACTGGCACTCCATAATATGCATCTATATTATATGGATGCTTAGATTCAACATTTAACAGATCTCTTTAGGTCAGGAATTGAGACTCTACACATATACTAATGCAAAATAATGGGTAATTTGTTGGTAATCTCAATAAAAGAAGCCAGACAGTTTTTGCATTGGAAGTCTTCCCACGTTTTTAATGATTCAAATTTGCAACATAGTTAAATCTATGTTTAAAGAAATGTCTCTTCTGCAACAAAATGCCCCATACCTGCCTGCTTGTTGTCTTCTCAAGCACTGTAAACCAAGTTGCACATGCACAATTTAGCTTATAGTGCCAGTCCAATCTATGGGTGCCAGAATGATGGACTCCTGAGCATGTGCAGGAGGGATGTCATCCTACGCCAGCCAATGAAGAGACAGCCAAAGACCTACACATAAGAGAAGATCCCAACAGCGGCGAGGGACCACCTGAAAGGCCCACATTAACCCTTTTAGTTTGTTTTAATTTTGGGCAAGAGAGTGACACTAACATATTAAAATACAAACTCTCTTCCTTATATATCTAAAGTAAAAATCCAATTTAATGTCATTTCTTTTGTATTGAACTGATATGTTCAAATAATGAATTACCGTAGTCACTGACTGTGTCCTCTTTATGGATCACTGAAAACCCTTGCTTAATTCTATGCCTGTTCTGAAGGTAATAAACTACTTGACATTGCAGAAAACATGAATTATGATTTTAGCATTATATGCCTTTACATTAGTTTTCCTTATATTTTTTTATATTGTTATATTTTGTTGGCTGCCATTAAATATTATTCTGAGGCTCTTTTTCTTTCTTATTATTACAAATAATAAATACATAAAAGGTGATAATATTTTTATTACATGTAGTCAAGTACTGAACCCTTTATTTGAATTTTTAAAGGTTTCTGTAGATCCTACCTGCAGGGTTCTCCTGCTTATTCGGTCCTCTATATTGTATTCTCTAATTTTACTTCTGTGTTTATTTCTAAACCCCCCAAAAATGTTAAAGCACCAGCAAAAAAACAAACAAACAAACAAACAAACAAACAACATTTTATAGTTCTCACACGTATTAGCTGTGTTAGAATATGCATGGAATAGAATATAAAGACTGATGTGTTCTTACTCTTCTTTTATATCCTCTATCTTGGGTAGCTCTGGAGTAGGAGTGTCTTCTGGTTTGAGGGATTTCTGAACCTGCTTAGGAGATATCAACTGCTTTCGCTTGTCCTTCTTTGAAGATACATTTCTCTTTTCTCTTTTGCTCTGCAACAGTGACACATTCATTTGAATATATGTCAGAAAACCTCACATTAAAAAAAAAACAAACAAAAAAAAGTATATATATATATATATATATATATATATATACACACACACACACAGAATAGATAGATAGACAGACACTGTCATTGTTTTTGGATTTATTTTTTCCAAGTAAATATGAAAAATCATATTTAACACTTGCAGCCATTAGCTGGTGAGTGCTAGTTAAAAGCACTAGCTTTCTGTAAGCTCATAACAGTTGAAGTCTGTAATGACTTAAATAGCAGGGGAGATAAGATTACAAAGACTGCTGAAAGGCTAAAAGGAGGAATACATCTACTCCATCTATTTAAGCAGAGGGGGAACCAGCTGACTTAAGAAAGAATACACGCACACTTTCTTTTCATTCAACCAGCAGATCACAAAAACTAAACAAGAGATGTGGATGCAGGGGTTTCCCATTGCCGCGCTATTGCATAATGACAGCAGGGACTCCCCCCTTCCTTAGAATATTCTGATAAGTGCTGCAGCCTTTAGTTGTAAACACTGAACAAATGCTTGTTTACCATCAGAATCGTTTGCCAGAAGCTGTGCTTCTGTTGAACAGACAGGGATACACACCTACCGAAATTGAGCCGGTTCCTGCTGACCCAGCTGAATTTCAGTATGTCTATACCCAGGTTTAATCAGACATAAACAACAAGCAAACAATTGGAGGTGGGCTTTCTTAACAAACATAGGTAAAACCTTTATCAGGATTTTATTATTGTGTGGGAAATTGGGAATATTTTTGCTCTCATCCTGCTAAAGTGTCTGCATTTACTGGCCTACTAAATTAGGGAATGAATAGAAAAAAATTCTCTAATGGCACCGCAGGCAACCATAACTTTCAGCTAGTGTCCCTGGTATATTGGACGGATAAGTTCTCTCTGCTTTATTTATTACATTTACTACTATCTATATTCATCAAACTGTTTCCAGTCGTATGAACTCACCATTAATTTATCTGTGAGAGTACGGCAAGCAGCTATGACAAGTGCATTATTTTTATCAGACTAAAATAGGAAATAAGAATTCTAAACTTATTTAGTGAAAAGGTGTGTGAGGCAAACCAAGTCTTCTGACTCTGTATTTTCTTTCCCAATTGACACTGGTTGGTGGTTTATGTAACAACAAATTAGCAAAGCTGTAACCAAAACACATCTATAAAGAACTCGGCCAATGTAAATTTGCTCTTTAATGGTGTAGAAAGGATTTCATTATGGCTGCAATTGAACCTTCTTGCACTTCTGTACAAAAGAGTATGTAATATACTGTATATAATGTATCATTAAATCAAATCACTTGTGTTTCAGTATGCATGGTCTATGGAAAGGCAAACAGAAAGAGTAATTTAGCTAGATGACAGAAAATTATGGGGCAAGGTTTACTTAAGAAGAAACTCAACTGAAAATGGATTTCTTATTTTTCGAAAGAGTGGGAAATGCCTTGCTCTTTCTTCTGTCCAGCAGCCAGCAGGAAGCTCGCTCACAACTTCACAGCCCCAAACAGACAGGAGCACTATTTTAAAGAACAATTCAATTGACAATTTCAGAATTGTGGAAGTGGGAGCGTATAACTACCTGAAACAGGTACTTGATCCCGAGGAAGAAAAAAACCCCAAATACGATGTGTGTGTGTGTGGGGGGGGGGGAGGTGCATTAACTGTACTTTTACTTTTAAGTGAAGGTCCGTTTTGGGTCAGAAAGTCCACTCAGTTTGACCTACATCAGCACTAAGTGCACAATTATCAACTCAAGATCTCAGGTATGCACCTTATAAAAAAATACAGCCTTACTGTACTTCCCGTATGTCATAAAATTATAGGAAATGGCTTAGTTACCTCTCCTCACTGAGCCTGTGATTAGAAAACACAGGGGCAGCATGTTGATGAGAACTCTGCTATGGTCTACCCTACTGTATTCTTTGTGAATTATGCCTTATGTATATGACTGAGATCCCGACAGTCTAAACTATTCATATGCAATCATTTTTATCTCTGCAGATCAGACTGTTGCACATTTGTGTTGAACACCTTAGAAATGTGCCCAGTTATGTGTGCTTTGATAAGTAGGAGCCACCTCCCTGATTTCTAACATAAGCATCACCCCAGAGTTAAATCCTGCCCAACCATGATCAAACTATCAGCTAAATAACATGGATATTGGGATGGACCTTAGTTCCAGAAGCAGGGGTTATAGAGAGGAAAGGAAATAACTATGCCAATGGCCAATGTGGTCAAATAAATGTGTTTTCACACTTTAACCTCCACAGGGAAAAAGCACTAGATCAAATCTGTTGTTTTAAACATGAGCACCAACAGCCTCACTGACTAAATAGGATTTACCATACCTGGTCTTCATTTTCCACTGCTGTGGGGGCTTCTTTGGTAAGAAGTGCTCTGGTTTCCACTGCCTGATGCAGCATTCTCATTGCTTCTTCCCTGATCTCCTTGTCATGAAGGGTTGGTTTAAAAGAAACCTGGATTAGGCACCTCTGGAAGAGAAAAGATAAGTAAAAATAGAAGCAAATAGTCTCTTTCCCTGTCCTTTCTGTACTGGTTTGTGTGTCTAATGTCTCAAAAACCATCACAGTGCATAAGGAAAAGAGTAATCTCCAAATAATTATTCTCTGTGCAGTCTACGAAAACGCACAGCAAATATGGCAGATCCAGAACACAATCAGAGAGTAACACTAGAAATCCTGGCAAAAACAGCTATTTCAAATTATATTATTATTTTAAAGTCAGAGTTCTCCAGTACATTTAACCTTGATCCACATTATATCTTACTTAAGTTCATGACAAAATTAGATAGATTTCATGATTTGGCTCATTTGATTATTCAATATCAATATCCCTATTGGGCATTACATTCTCAACACATATTAGCACAGGGAAACTGCACATGGCCATGTGCCTACAGAATAAAAGGCAGATCCACCCAAAAATGTTTCCTGTGTTTTAAATGGGGACATGGGGAGTTGGTGGTTGAGTCATCAGTGCTCACCCAAATGTGAAATATCATGAATGACATTAAATAGTCAGACTTAAGAAAATATTTCATGTGATGCAGTGAAGGTATCTGTGAAATACTCTTGATGTCCCTTCACTTTCTGTACAGAAGAAAACAGTTACCAAAACCAATTTGAGAATGTAAATTTCCCCATTGGGGAACCATTGATGACCATAAAAACCTGAAGGGTTGATAGAATACTCCTCATTCTATTCATATCTAAAAAAAGGTTTTATCTTCACATACACTTTAACTTAAAAAATATTACTTTTGGTAAAGCATTATATTGAATACATTTTACCTTAACTTTAAATTTTACCTCACCTTTCCTGGCAAAACAGAGCCAACCGATGGTGATATAGTGATAGCTGAATCATCAGGTACCATAAACTGAAATGAAGTAGGTCCAACAGGCGCAATCTCTCCTTTACCAATCCTTGGTACAGGATGAGTGAATTCATTGCAGCTAATGTGGGAATTGACGACATACAAAGTGGCTATGGAGACATCATTTAAGGCTGTTCCTGGAAATTGGGCTAAGGAATGAGACAGTTCCAGAGGCGGGTGGACCCCAATGGCTTTACAGGAGACCTTAAATTGTCTGAGTGAACAGAAGTCAAGTTACTGAATAAGAAATGGTGAATGTGAATAATAATGTCCACAAACATTAAAAAGAAACAGTCCTCATTGGGTTCAAGAGTTTAAATATTCTTTATTCAATATTTTTATTGAGTTTGATGTACCAAGTACAAAGGTAACAAAGATAAGACCAGAGTGTGGTTCACATAGCAAAGCAATAACCATGTCTTTAACAAGACTATGGGGTAAATTTACTAAAACTGGTTCACTCAGAATTTGGTGCAGCTGTGCATGGTAGCCAATCAGCTTCTAACTTCAGTTTGTTCGATTAAGCTTTGGCAACAACACCTGGAAGCTGATTGCTTTCTATGCAGAGTTGCACCGGATTTTGATCTCTTCATTTTCAGTAAATAACACCCTTAGTGTGGTCATTTGGATATGATAATTTTGAGACAGAGATACAAATTGATAGAAGAATAAAACAGGCAGAAAAATAGTTATGAAACATCAATTTAGATATACATTTTGCCATTGTTATCTTCTATTTAATAGATAAAGTCATGGTGCGTTTCCATTCTATGAAGTGGTGCACTCATATTTCTTTAAAAAGAGAGCTGTAAAGGGGTTCAGAATCTTTTTACCAAACATGGAAAGTTTAGGAGAATAATTGAGAAAGAGAACTAGGCTTTTCAAGAGAGATCAAGGTACAGGAGAAAAAATTCCACCACGCCAAATAGGATGAAAGAAAGAAAGAAAGAACGAAAGAAAGAACGAAAGAACGAAAGAAAGAACGAAAGAACGAACGAACGAACGAAAGAAAGAACGAACGAAAGAACGAATGAAAGAAAGAACGAAAGAAAGAAAGAAAGAAAGAACGAAAGAAAGAAAGAAGAGGGGAAAAAAATAAATAAATGGGGGGGCATAAATAGAAGGAAGGAAATAAATGGGGAAGAGATCTCTGCGGCAGGTTTCATATAGTGGCGTTGTATTGAATCAATAGGTTTCATGTTAATTTAAATTTGTTTTTTATGTTATTCAATATGCTCGTCATCTTGTCATTGATCATGGTACAACTGAATGTTTAACAAGCTCTAGAGAGGGATAACATCCAAAAAATTCCCTTTTGAAAAAATATCGATCCATGTGCAAAGAAAAACTGAAACAAAACCCAGGATTTTTACCTGCATATGACTTGATGATTTAATTCAGCATAGTTTCACCCTACAGCAATCAATAAGCTAAGTGAAAATATCCTTGCAAAGTGAGCATTCAAAATAAAATAAAATAAATATGCTCTTAGCCTACAGTAAATCAAGGTCATAGTGTAGATTACCAAGTAGACCCAAATCCAGAAGTGTTTAAATATCTTAAATATTCCATATTCAATTATTATAACTGTGCAGGTTTACTTACAGGTATGGAAGAAATGCATACAGTTATCTTTGCAATCGATATACATCTCCCCATTTTAGTCCCACTAGAATTCCCGTGACTACAGAAATGCAACAGTTGATTGTGTCAAGTTCTTAACTTTCTGTGCACTCTGTCTGCTACACTAAAATCCCACGCAGTGTTAACAGCACTGTGCTTTTCTCTTCTTTGGACTACAAAGTCCATCCCCTTTATGCTATGAAGATGAAGACAAAGGGAGTGGTGCTAATATCCAGCACAACAGAACTGGGCAGGACTAATAACACTACTTGAGTTGTAAGTACAGCAGAGACTGTAGCACAAACAGAAGTTAGCCTCCCACTAGATTTCTGGCAAAACAAAAAGTAGGGAAATATGCTTGTGTTCCAGAACTGTATGCATAGGGGTTTTTTTTTATCTTGCCCAGGCACTTTCTCTTCCTGATAATTTTGACACTGTAAGTCAAGACAGTGAATTTATCAAATTAATAAATAACATTTATGCCATACTATATTCATGTAAGCCTGGGTCTCTGAGATACAATGATAGACACACATTATAGGTAAAGCAGTACACAATCTTGAGTGCACAAAAAAAGAAAATGTGAGATGGTTGTTAACATTTTCAAACATTTAAAAAAAATGTAAAACATTCTATAATATTCTTAGACACATAGGGTTGATTTACTAAAGGGCAACAGGTTTTGTTCACTTTGTAAGGGAAGTTGTATTCTGCAAGGAAAGGATTTCCCAGAGCTTAGTTAATGTGTTGAAGATATGCTGACTTCCATCATCCAATCATGCGCAAGCAAAAAATGCTGTATTTTTATTTTCCTTACATGCGATTGGGTATGCTTTGCAAAGTAAAATTTCACCACATTCACCAAGCTTTGAGAAAAATTTCCTTGCAAAGTTAATGTCTATTTTCATTTAGTAAATCAACCCTAATGGGTCTAATTCATGAAAAATGGAGATAAGAAAATTAGCTGGAATTATTTCTTAGAGCAATCAGTGATAGCTTTCTTTTGTCCAATTTCATGAATCAATCAGCCTCATTGTAGTTTGTCTCTTTCTAATTTCTGACAATACAAGGAAGACAAAACAAAGATCAAGCTCATGGGCAAAATTAGTACTTTTATTGTCTATTCTACCATAAATGGTGAGGAAACCAGTCCTTTCTCACCTATTGATAGCCGATTTGCATGTCAGATCAAAACTGTATTCGTCAGCTTTTGGGGCTCTGAATTTGATATCCAGTGTGATTGTCTCCAAGGGAAGCAGAGTTCCAAAACCGTCATTGGGTTGAATGTCTACATACTGTAATTCAAAAGTCAAATTGCTAATTAGACATGGGAAATAAATAATCAGTCACAAACACAGAGTACATTTCCACACCTAACTTAAAGTAGATCTGTAAACCACTATAAAAAATTGTGAGCTATCCCTTTAAAAGTTAACAAAGCATATAGGTGAATAAGTGCAACATATACAAATCAGCACGAGGCAAATGTAAAAGCCATAAGTTCAGAGTGAGGAATCCAAAATAAACTTGTGCTGAAATATCCTGTTAGTGTTACACAGCCAGCTGCTCTTCCCCACACAACCAGGTACACACACTTCTTACCAGACAATCCGATCTCTATATCATATACATCATGCATTTACTTCACTCTGATTTGTGTATGTTGCACTTATTCACCTATATGATTTCTTTTACTTTTAAAGGGATAGTGCACCATTTTTTGTTTAGTTCCACACAGTATTAGGATGTTTAAGTGCTGGTGATCCACTTTTATTAAGTTTTCCTGCAGTAAGTGCAAAGTCTTTTTTTATTCTAGTAGATCTAAAACCAATCAATTAAATCTCCTATAAGCATTACAATGTTAATGTCATTTCAAAAGTTGTTTTCAGTCTTTTAAAATCCACAGCTTTCATTATATAATGCTTAGTGATCCTGCCACGAAAGCTGTTGTTCAGACACTTCCTGTTAGAGGCTGTAATTCTATAGCCCAGTGCCCCTAGTGTTCTCAAACTTAAAGGAAAAGTAGGGCTAAAGCCTGCTGTCGGCTGACGTCACTGAGCTTTTCAAGGTTCTGGAAAGATTCTGACTTTAAAACTGGGCTCCACCCAGATTTCTGACCAGCAGCTGACTCAGACTCTCAGCACACTGCTGAGATCCTGAGCCAGCCGCTCACATCCCCTCCACAGCCCTGTGCTTCAGTGAGGGCTGGAGGGGCAGAGCAGAGAGTCTTTGACTGACAATCACTGACTCTCTTCTCACTTGAAAGAGAAGGTTTTTTTTGCCAAGTTATACCTAGGTGGGTGCAGCATCAGTCCGATGCTGCATCTGTCCCCAGCTGGCTCTAAGGGTGATAACTTAGGGATCACATGACTGCTGATCACTGAGTTCTCACAGCCGTTCTGAGCAGAGAGTGGGATTGTCAGTCACCACTCTCTGCTATGCCCCCCTGAGCTCACTGGAGCGCTGGGCTGTGGAGGGAGCAGCTGGCTCAGGCTGTCAGCACATTGCTGAGATGCTGAACCAGGTGCCGCCTCCAGGTTCTGGGGTGGATCCTGACTTTAAAGAGCTTTGGCTGTACTTCTCCTTTAAGACCAAGAATAAGTTATCAGCAGTCTTTGATCGCTCAGTTCTTGGTCTTAGATGTGGCAGGGGACAGATGCAGCATCAAACAGATGCTGCATCCACCTTGGTAAGTATGTAATTTTATATTTTTAAATTGCCAAACTTCTCTTTTAAAAGGTTTGTTCAACTTTACCAAAAAACTGCCTGTGCAGTGGGGGGGTGCATCTGTAGACAAAAACAAACAGTGCTAATTTGACTAAGTTAAATAATGTCTTGCTATAGGTGTAGGCCCTTTAGAATATGCAGTAGGCAGTAGTTGCACTCAACAGGACAGCAGGATGAATTTTCCAACATAGTTTAATCAATGTCCACATTTCAGCGAGGCACAGTCTGCCTTTCTTCAGATATCAAGGTCATTTATGTACCTCCGGAAGTCTGACTGGAATACCTATAGACCTAACAAGGGTCTGTTAAGGTCTAAGAGGGTAAAACTGATTTGACGTGTTAAAAAAGTGACAATCCACCACCCACTCCGACGGAAACATCCTGGACCTTGTCTTCTCCAACCACTGTGCTTTCCACAACCTCGCTAACACCCCCTTCCCTCTCTCTGACCACAACCTTATTACCTTCTCTATCTCCTCGTCCTCTAACGCCTACCCCTCCAAATGTCATACTACTACCAGCCGTAACCTACTCAACCTGAACCCTGCCCCCTTCCACTCTGCAGGTGATCAACTCCATGACAGCATCCTCCCCCTGTCCTGCCCCGACATGGCTATGACTGCCTATAACAACGCTCTGTCAGCAGCCCTTGACTCACTAGCGCCTTTAACCACACGAAACATCAGACCCCGACCGCTCCATCCCTGGCAGACTGATCACACCAAAACTCTCAAACGACACAATCGTGCCCTGGAGCGACTATGGCGCAAAACCAGATCCCAACAAGCCCTCACCCGCTATAAATCTGTCTTCCACACCTACACCTCCTCCCTCCACGCCGCCAAAACAAGCCTACTTCCTGACCCTCATCAAGACTCTCTTCTCCAATCCTCGCCAACTCTTCTCCACCTTTAACTCTCTACTCTCTCCGCCCCCACCTCCACCCAGCACCTCACTCACCGCCCTTGAGATTGCCAATCACTTAAAAAACAAGATTGACACAATTCGCAAGGACATCGCCACAGCTCACACTCCCTCCAAACCCGTCCCCTCTCACACAACTACCCCCTCATCACCCCTCTCCCTCGACACAACCCGCAGGGACTTTGTCGCTGCTCAAACTCCCTCCAACACGGTCCCCTCTCACACAGCTACCCCCTCATCACCCCTCTCCCATGGCCCCACCACTGCTCTGACCTCCACCTCCACCCCACCCAACATTCCTCACACTGAAGCCCCCTCAACACTCCACACCTTCGACCCTACTACCATCGAGGAAGTCTCCAAGGTCTTCTCTGATGCCCGCCTCACCACCTGCCCCCTCGACCCTATCCCCCCACAACTCCTAAACGACCTCCCTCCCCCTCCATCCTACGCTCCCTCACCCACATCTTTAATCTCTCCTTCTCTTCTGGCGCATTCCCCTCCCCTCTGAAGCATGCACACATCACCCCCATACTTAAAAAGCCCTCCTTGGACCCCAATGACCCGAACAACCTCAGACCCATCTCCCTGCTCCCATTCACATCCAAACTCCTCGAGCACTTAGTCTACACTCGCCTAAGCTCTCACCTCAACGACAACAACCTCCTCGATCCCCTACAGTCCGGCTTCCGTCCCCTACACTCCACCGAAACCGCCTTACTCAAACTCTCCAACAACCTTCTAACCACCAAAGCTAATGGCCACTATTCAGTGCTCATACTCCTTGACCTCTCCACGGCCTTCGACACAGTCGACCACCCCCTCCGCCTCAAAAAACTACACTCCCTCGGCCTCAGAGATTCCGCTCTCTCCTGGCTCTCATCCTACCTATCACAACGCTCTTTCAGCGATACCTATAACGCTACACCTCCCCCTCACTCCCCCTCTCTGTTGGGGTCCCTCAAGGCTCCATCCTCGAGCCTCTTCTCTTCTTCATCTACACTTCCTCCCTTGGTCAAACTCATACACTCTCACGGGTTCAACTACCACCTCTATGCCGACGATACACAAATCTATCTCTCAACCCCCCACCTCACCCCCTCAGTTTCCGCCCGAATCACAAACCTACTGTACAACAAACCCTCCCTTAGAAAGGCAATACAGTCCTCACTAGATTACATTGCATGTATTTATTAAGTTGTTGCAGGAAAGCAGCAGCATTGAAATGCAACAAAGGATGAAAATGAAAGTGATTGATGTTTGTTAATTGCTGTATTTTTAGCCTGGATCTCCTCCATGTGCTAATGAAATGTATATGATGCTTGTAGCTGATAGTTTGCCTTTGTCTAGATCACCCTTTCTCAACCTTTTTACCCTAGGAGAACCCTTGAAAATAATTTTCACATCTCAGGGAACCCTTGCTAAAAACACATTTATTGAAGATCAGTGTGAAGTAGTTTCCCCTTACAGTGGTGGTCAGAGTGTACCCCTTTCAGATACTTTAAAAGACCATTGGTGTAATGCCACTGGCTCTGCCAAGTGGCATTGGCCTCCAGTCTATGTAGGCACCATCAGATTGGAGGTTAATCAGCCACATCTCAAGGAACCCCTAGCAAACTCTTGAGGAACTCTAGCTGAGAATGTCTGGTCTATTTAGAGAAACTGTGGGGAGGTCTTGTGCTTAAACTCTGATGTACTGTTATGTCTCTCTATGATGTTTTCTTTCATAAATATATGAAAAAGTTAGCTGTTTGGAGTGCTGCCTATTATTTAATTATAGAGTAATATTCCTGAGTCTTTTTTTGAGGAAACCCAATCTATGGTTTCAGCACTCTCATTTATGTACAGTTGTTAACCCTTTATGCACTGTTGTTGTGATTTGGGTGTGCATTAGCTTACCTTTTGTTTTACTAATTTTCTAACCAGGCATTTGTACCAGAAGAAGCAACTGTTTGGGCTGGTTATTTCCCTGCCAGTCACTATTTTTCTTCCAAATAGACCAGTGCAGAGGTGCTCCATAGACCAAACATATGAGTTGCTGAGTAGGAGGAGTGATTACGCACAGATCCTTGTTTGTGTATGACTGTGTAGTATAAATCAGCAAGTATTTTTTTTTTACAAAATGGCACTGGCTTACAATTGTGCTCAAAAGCTTGCATACCCTGGCAAAAATTGTGAAATTTTGGCATTGATATTGAAAATATGACTGATCATGCCAAACAACTGACTTTTATTTAAGAATAGTGATCATATGACGCCATTTATTATCACATAGGTGTTTGGCTCCTTTTTAAATCATAAAGATAACAGAAATCACCCAAATGGCCATGATAAAAAGTTTACATATCCTAGAATGTTTGGTCTTGGTACAGAGACACAAAGTGACACACACAGGTTAAAATGGCAATTAAAGGTTAATGGTAGACAAGGTTCAAGGCTAACGGTTCATGGAAGACAACCAAAAACCTTGCATGACCTGGAGGCATTTTGCCAAGACAAATGGGCAGCTATACCACCTGCAAGATTTGGGGCCTCACAGACAACTATTACAAAAGACTGCATGCTGTTACTGATGCTAAAGGGGTCAATACACAGTATTAAGAATTAAGGGTATGCAGACTATTGAACAGGAGTGTGGTGTTCATATTAGTGAGCCAGTCCTGTGTGGATGGAGGTAGAGAACTTTTCCAGTACATCAAAAGCACCTTACGAGCCTGAAAGAGGGTGCAGGAGACACCCTCTCTGACAGGGATCCAAGATACCAAGTATACAAGACAAAGGGTCTAAAGATTTTAAAGAATTTAACTGATAAACCTGATTAATTATACGAAGGACAGATTCCCAATATCTATGTAGCTTGGGACAATGCCATAGCATATGAATCAGGTCCCCGTGGTGCTTTCGGCACCTAGGATAAAGGTGGTCGGTCCCAACTCCAGTTTTAATTAAAGTATACATACTGTACCTTCTCTCCCAAAGGTCTTCTGGCCAGTCTGATTACATCACAGATCCTTCCTTCCCACTTTGGTGATGGTGGGTGGTCCTTACTTCTGCACATAATGTGTGAGTTACCATCCAGTGCAGCAGTATTGTAATCCTAGGTGCGCATAATGACGCACCCCCACATGACTCCCAATGACCACATGGGTTAACAGGAAGTGGGTTGAATGATGCTGGCAGCCATTCAACCAAGAAAAGGAGGAACATCTGATGGAGAAGCAGACATTCTGTTAGGGGCAATGCCGGAATGAAAGCGATTATTGCAGCAAAAGCTGCAGGGTTTTTTGTTTTGTTTTATTTTTTTTAATACTGCTGGGTTAATTCAGGGCTTATTAGGATGTGGATCTATGGCTTGTGGACACTAATGGGTAAAGTAAGCCATATGTGCTTATTGTGTAGGCAGGTGATTCATAATATTCATCCTAAAGCTATGTAAACGTAAGTAATTAAACCTTCAACCAAACTTTCCCTCCTACCTATCAACTGGATTTCCAATTTTAAAGTGGGAGGTTTTGTAATTACTAAACTATTATTTGGATGAGTACTCCCAACACAAGTTAATGTTTTCAGCACAAGAGTTTTCAGTACCCCACAATTCTACAGATTTATTAAAATATTGACTTCATTATAATATGAAATAAATACAAAAATACCACGCTATGAGGTTCTTGTGAAAAAATTTGAAAGAGAGCTCCACGCTTTAGTAACAGCTACTGTTAAACTGAGTTACCAGCAGGCCAAGGACGCATTTACAGTGAAACTGGGATTTTGGTCAAATGTGTTTTAAATATTTCTAAATTGAACATTCACATATAATAACAGAAGAAATTGACAAATAACATTTTTGTTGCTTCTGTTACAGTTTATTTTGCCGAGGGTACTGGACATAATAAGAAAGTCCAGCAGTGCCCACTCAATCATTTATTTTTGTGTTTGTGTGTGTTGTGAATAGAGCAATACTGAGGGGAACCAGATTACAGCAGGCTATTTACAGCATAGCATAACTGTAGAAATCTGGACCACATGGCACATTCTAATGTAAATAATTACTTCAGAAAGGAAAATTGAGTATGGACTACTCCCTACCACAGCTCACGGTTGGTCAGTGAGAAAGCCCATGCAGTTATGAACTAAAGGTGACACATGAGAGACATTGGGGAAGAGTTACTAAAACAGATGTACACAGAATCTAGTGCAGCTGTGCAGAGTAACCAATCAGCTTCTAGATTGTATTGTCAAAGGTTAATTGAACAAGCTGAAGTTAGAAACTGACTGATTACTATGCACACCTGTACCAGGCTCTGAGTACACAAATTGTAGTAAATCTCCCCCATTGCTTGTTTCATGGTTACTTGGGGGTTGATTTAGTGAAGACAAATAGACTGTTCACTTTGCAAGGGAATTTGCAATATGTAAGAGAATTTTCCCCAGAGCTTAGTACATAAAGTGAAGCTCTGCCCACTTCACTCATTCAACATGCCCAACAAAAATGCTGTTTTTTTTACTTTCCATGCAAGTGATTGGGTTTTCTTTGCAAAGTGAAATTTCACCACATTCACTCATCTCTGGGGAAAAGTGAGCAGCCTATTTGCCTTTAGTAAATCAATTCTATTGCAATCTCCTTACTTAGAAATAAGCAAAGTAGCAGTAACTTAGCAATCGATAGGACAGTCTTCAGTAAATTATTATTTAATTCAACAGGGTGGACTCAATCACGCAGCCAACCAATCTGTATCAAGAGATGTAGATTACATTTTGGCTACTGTTCACAGGCACCAAGAAGCAATTCCTTCCTTGGGTATATGCCTGGTGAGGGCTGATGCAATTGTACACACAGACAAGTTCAAAGAAGAATGTTACAATCATGTACTTTAAATATATAGTAGATGTTTTGGACTTCATTTTTCAGATATTTAACAGGGGATCTGCATCAACATTTGTATGTTCTGTCCTAGATACTTTTATTATAAAATGCTTACCTCTGGGATTCCCACAAAACCAAACTCCTGGGGCAGGATTGACTTGTTTGTTAATCGAATGGATGTTTGAACTGATTCAAAGATGGTACAGTGCCCAAAATCTACCTCAGTGGGGTTGATTTCCAGGTCTGATGTTGTCACAATAGCGTGAACAGTAAAGATAACAGGCCGGGTCTGAAAAGACAAAAAATTTTAAGAAATATACAAATACATCTTAGTGATCATTGATTCCTTTTTTTCTCTGACGTGAGCCTGGCAGTTTCTATGAAAAAAAACTTGCTAAATGAACAGTACTGCTAAAGTACAGGCACTCAGTGGCCCATATGATAGATTTCAAATCAATAATTCTCTTGTCTGCTATTGAAGGTTCTAAAACTGGCACTGTGCTGTTGATTGGTGGGTCTAGGGTACAGCCATAGGTCTTTAGTGCAGCCATTTTTAGTTAGGATTCCTGCAGAGGTAGACAGGGGCTCCTTGAGCTATTGCTGATAGACCTCTCACCAGATGGTGTCTGGATAATTTCCAGACAAACACCACTTGGTAGCATGACTCCAATCTTGTTTTTAACTGTCTAAGGGAAGCATTCTGATCACCACTGTAAGGAGAACATTCTTCACACTGACCATCAAAGTAAGGAACATTCTTTCTTCTGACCCCAATTATTTAATTTTAGCCAGGGTTCGACGTGAAAGATAAGTCAAGGGTTCCTCTGGGGTAAAAAAAAGGCTTGTTTAGCACTTTACTTTAGTTCACTAAAGGGAGATGACTTAAAAACACACATATAACCCACCTCTGAGGGCGGGTCACAATATGCTCAGTCAAAGTGTTAGGCAACAGTTGCCATGACTCCCTTTATCAGTCTCATGCCCTTTATATGCCTTTACAGCAGCACTCAAACAAACAGATGGTGGGCCTATGTTCTAAGCTCCTTACTAAACTGCTGCACTGCACATAAGCTGACAAGGAATATGCTTACTGAAGAACAGAGAGGAGAAGGTTGACCTTGGTATCACTATCCAAGCGTAGAGTGGGAGGTGACACAGCAAACTCACATTTTTTATAAAATAAAAGCAATATGTCTAAACATACTTTAACTAGAATTTACCTTCTATCTCCCCTTTCCTTTGTTTCTTCGTTCAAATACAAACTTTTTTTCTGTTGTTCTCAGACTTTCAGTTCTAGGGTGGCTACTTTCGCTCCCCATGCCCCCATGTGAATGTAAATACAGCCACCCATTCCTGCTCACCCCCTGAGATAGACTATAGATCTATCTGCAGACACATTCAGCTCTATGGGAATTCTTGTACACACGGAGCATGTGACCAGAAATTACAACACTGGTGGCTCTTCACTAGTATTTGTACATCAGTCGAAGATAGGGAGCATGCACAGGAGAAAAAAGAAGCCTGAGGCTAGGTTCACACCACTTCGACTGGACTTTGATCAGACTTTCAGTGCAATTAAGTAATGCAACTTGGATGCAACTTTGACGCTACTTTTAAGTGGTCTGCATGGGGCCACAATCTTGCTGGAATCACACCAGAGTAGTACAGAAACCTTTTTCAAAATTGTGCCATACTAAGTTGCATTGATGTGAACAGGTACGATTGAAAATAATGTGATATCTATAGTCAAGTGATTCTGTGTAGCTCAAGTTGCATCTGAAATTGCACCAGCATGAATGGAGCCTAAAAATAATGATAATAGACTTTTCATCTTCTCCCTGGGCTTGTGTCTGTTTCCTCCGTGGTACTCTGGTTTCCTCCCATACTCCAAAGACATGCTGGTAGGATTATTGGCTGCTGTCTACAGTGGCCCTAGTATGTGTATGTATGAATGTGAGTTAGGAACCTTAGATTGTAAGCTCCTTGAGGGCATAAACTGTCTGCGCTCTATATGTAACTGTAATAAATAAATAATAATTTAAAAAAAGAGAGCCATGGTATACTGTACTTGATAGTTTACAACAACTGATGTAAAAAACTGAGTTTAATGCACTTTAAAGTGTAGGTAATCTCCAACAATGCACTCTCTTGTTTGCTGTCTTTTGGGTAGTTTATAATACTTTTTAAAGCAGGGCAAAGCAACAGGTTTGTTTTAAAACCCCATCCTCAGTTTCCACAGGTTTTTACCAGTAACAAGAGATTTTGTCTACATCGACAGAAAAAAGACTATGCATGCCTAAGACAGCTTTTCTGGAAAGTACTTATTGCAAAGTGATAACAGAATTTTTACTCATTTTATGCATTTAATTATTCTATCAATTCTAGAACTCCTGAGTACTTAGCTCACAGCAAGCGTGTCATCTGTTAATAGACCTGCCTATTTTCTCTCACAAAATTCCCAACTTTTGGTATTAGAATACGATGTTTAAAACATATCAGACTAGTTTAGGCTACTTCTGAAGCAGCGATAAAGATAATGAGCTCTATGAGTAACTTAAAAAGCCTATCAAGGTGATAATCCCATTTTTAATCAACTCTCTGATAAATGAAGTGTGAAACACCAGCAGTATTAAAAAGTTTTAACCCTATTCACTATAAGTATACGACTTGCCAAACTACTGTATATAACTGACTTATGAAAACTGTAACAAGAACACAGGTGCAAAAGCTGAGTTGTCCTCAAGAGTGTTTTTTTCTTTATTATTTCCAGTGACAATGATCAGTTATTGGGACATTGCCTACTCTTTTGCTTTCTTTACTCCAGTTTTAATAAACGTATGCTACAGTATTATTTTCATCTAGCAACTTAAAAGGTATAAATCCCAAACCATGAATGGTGTTAATGTGAGCACCATTCCCTACGCCATTCCATGTCAGTTCAGAACCAGTGGTGCAGTCCCCTTAGGAGGCAATCCCATGACACCCTCCAGTGACAGGCAGGAAAGAGATGAATGGTGCAAGACTGAAGAGGAGGTGAGTATTGCAATCAAAGCATCAATACAAAACAGCCGGGGGGCCATATTTTTAAAGAAAGGTTTGGTCCTGAGTTGGACTTTAAAGGTGGTCTGATTTTTATAGCATAATTACATTGGTCATCTTTGGAATGATATAAGTATGCATATCTCAAATCTGAGCAGTTGCTGTGGAATGATGCAGTTGCAGCTACTACAGTGATTGCCGCAGTCATATGGGTCCTGTGCCAAGCAGCTTCCCTTCTGCATAGTAAACACAGGGGATCACTTGCTCCACGCTGCCACCATTCACACAATTTATTGTATTTTTTAAAGAATAGAAAACGTTCTCTGACTGGGCAAGGTGGAGAGGTGGGGCGGAGACTTTACAATCAGAGAACGTTTTCTATTCATTAGAAAAAAAAAAAATACAAGGCGTTGTGTGAATGGTGGCAGTGCTGAGCGAGTGATTCCCTGTGGTTACTATGCAGAAGGGAAGGGACAGGACCTGGAAGATGCAGCTTCCACAGCGATCTCAGGAATGAGATATGCATATTTACTTTATATGTCCCTATGCAATAAAAATCATACCTAGACTTCTGCTTCAGCTATGTACTGTATTTAGCAAACAGCTAAATAAGCAGCTGAAATACATACATTTGCTGTCTTATTTGCAATAGACTACAATGCCTTGGAAAAGTATTCATACCCCTTGAAATTTTCCACAATATGTCATGTTACAATCAAAACGTAAAAGTATTTTATTGGGATTATATGTGGCAGACCAACACAAAGTGAAGTGTAAGAAAAATGATAAATGTTTTTCACATTTTTTTTACAAATAAATATCTGAAAAGTATGACATGCATTTGTATTCAGCCCCCTTTACTCTGATACCCCTAACTAAAATCACTAAAATCTAGTGGAACCAATTGCCTTCAGAGGTCACCTAATTAGTAAATAGAGTCCACCTGTGTGTAATTTAATCTCAGTATAAATACAGCTGTTCTGTGAAGGTTTGTTAGAGAACATTAGGGAACAAACAGCATCATGAGGCCAAGAAATACACCATACAGGTCAGGGATAAAGTTGTGGAGAAGTTTAAAGCAGGGTTAGGTTATAAAAAAATATCCCAAGCTTTGAACATCTCATGGAGCAGTGTTCAATCCATCATTCAAAAATGGAAAGAGTATGTACTTTTGGGGTTTGACAGATGGTGAGGAGGCATTATGTCACCTCTTCACTGCCTGTTTTAACTTCTAAAAGTCTGCTCCACTGCCCTGCAGCACGACTCATTTGAAAGGGTTGCATTTGGCGGGTGGTACTACCCACTGAATATAACACTGGACATATTTTTTTTCTGCATCACAATTCAAAGCATCATAGCCACAGCATGTGTAAACCCCAGTACAACTGCCTTTGCAGCTTTGAGGGAGAGGTTGGGGTAAGTAAAAACACAGCTCAACCACATGATTTTACCACCTCCCAGCCAGAAGGGTAAACTAAGCCTTATTCTGCAGTCTCAGACACTATAGAAATCCCATTTAATTATTACATTTGTGTAAACATCTGTGAACAATTAGCAGTTGTGGCTTCTTTTATTTCAATCGATCAAACTTAGGGTTTGTTCACACATACAGTTAGGGAGTGGTAAAACAAGGCACAGTTTACCGCCCTACAATTACCTGCCTGAACCTGGGCATGCATCTACTTAGGGCTGTACACGGTGGGAGAAAATTAAACAGAATGCCGCGTTTGGTGGGCGTTACTGCCACCAAACACGACCAATGCATGTCAGTGGGGCAACCAACCTCATAATCACATGTAATGCACATGACTGCAGCATAGTAGTTTGGGGAATTTATATGGTTAAATCGGATAGTAAGGAGGTGACATAAGGTCTCCTCACCGCCAACCAAATGCCCTCGGAAAAGTAATCCAATGCAAATTTCTCTTCAGAGGGCACTGCACATGTGAATGAGCCCTTAGGGCAGTGGTTCTCAACCTTTCTAGCGCCGCGACCCCTTAATACAGTTCCTCATGTTGTGGTGACCCCCAACCATAAAATTATTTTCGTTGCTACTTCATAACTGTAATTTTGCAGTAGGAGGAATAGTGCCACGTCATTGGTGTCATTGGGAGGAATAGTGCCCCATCATTGGTATCAGTGGGAGGAATAGTGCCCCGTCATTGGTGTCAGTGGGAGGAATAGTGCCCCTTTCATTGGTGTCAGTGGGAGGAATAGTGCCCCTTTCATTGGTGTCAGTGGGAGGAATAG